TCAAGAGCAAGGGAGCATGTCAGTTCCCAAGCTACCCAGCTGTGATAAAATAATCCAGGGCCATTCCATTCCTGGGTGGCTTTCTGTAACATCTGAACCCAAACCTCTTGAGTTGTCGCAGGATGAACCACCTGTTATTTGAACCCATGGTTTGATCACAGATTAAACATCGGTGTTCTTTGTCCCCCAAGAAGCCAATTCAGGTTCATATGTCACAATAAACAAACCAAGTATCACAGCAGAAGTAGTCAGGCAGCTGAAAACAAGCACATTCACATGTTCCTGTTCATCCATAGCTGCCTAGTTTAACTCCTGGTTGCTGTGATGCACAAACTGGGCCACTATGTTTCTGCTATAGCCCACACTGACTATTTGTAAAACAGTGCAATGTTATGCTAATGAAAGAACAAATATCCATCTTCCATACTGCAGCATTTAATATGAAAAGTACTTAACATTTCCATTTAGCACTCCTTACATGCTCATTCCAATAGAGCTCTGGATGTTTCCCTTAGGCCTATCTTTGCAGGCTAATGCACTTTAATTTTGTTCTTTGGAAGAAATTTACATACAAATTCTCTCAAAGAGCTACCACTGGGGATCTTTTTTTCAAAGAGCTAAGCACATATGACAACAGATTCTGGTCCTCCTGTAAGAAGTTAAAGACTAGGGATGAGGATAATGCCAATAAGAATTATTTTACATTACATTACATTGCCAAAGATGCACATGCCAGCGTTATTCGAACTTTCACACTGGAATGCCCTGCATCTCCTCATTTTGCCACTTCCCTTTCAACTCAGCTGGAAACTCTATAGTCAAATTCCCATTTCTTGAAAAGACAGAAATAGATGGGGAGGAGAGATAGCATGGGAACTGGGAAGACAGGTCGGCTACTTTCACTTCTCCAGGAAACAAACAGCCAAATTCTGCATCACAGAAGACCATATGCAGATTAACATTACTAAGGGACCTCAGCAATTACAAGTAGCCAGAAACAAGGTTCTCTGGCCCAGTATGTAAAATGAGAATTCATAGGGAATTCTTTTGCCCTCGGAAACAAAAGGTGTATGAAACACTGCCTCTTACCTACCAGCAGATTATTGCTGTAATGATTCCCAGGCCAACATGTGCAGCTGGTCATGAGAAGTATAGGCCAACCATCCCAAGAAAGCAATTGCAACTTGAGGACTTCCATTTCCAGGAAAGCGGGCAAGAGATTCTCCTGAGTGGTCCATTTGATCAATCAATTTGCATGGTAATCCCTCCACAGATGCTAGCATTGAGCTGAAACAATGCTGTGTGACAAGGGCCTTATGGGATGGGGAGCTACTGAGTTTTCATCAAGACATGGCTGATGAAAACTAACTGGGAAACATGGAGCTAATGTGTGATTTACTTACAGTGTAAGAGAGACTAGCTCAGCAACATCTGTGGTTGGATTACATGATTTGAACACTTAGCAAAGCTAGGATCAACAGTACACACCTGTATAAACTGCTTTCATGTATTTGAAGAGTTAACAGAGATCCATATCTGGGTTCTAGTTTTCACTTATGATGAAGCATCTTGGGAGAGTTTGGGTTAGTCACTGTTTCCCACCCTAGCCTACCTCATAGGGCTGTTATGACAATATATGGACGGAAGAAAGAAGATTGTGTAAACTGCCTTGAGTTTCTTGCAGGAAAAAGGCAGGGCAGAAATATAATAAATGAAATGAGCAGTCATGCCAGTAGTCTAATTATTGGACCTCAGAACCTTCAGCGTTCTTTATCCTCCCCATATTAACGTATGTCAATTAATGATCACTGAGAAAGCATCCATGAATAAGGTATAGTAAGGAAAGGTAACGCAGCAACTTACATACATCAACTCAACAAATGGAGTAAATTATGCTAATTAGGAATATTTGCCTAATGTGACTTGGACAACTTGCAGTTTCAGAAAAATATTTCAAAGCTGAATGTTTTGCCCAGATCTATGTTTGAGGCAAGGGAGCAAGAAGGCAGGGGACTGGGCTCTCCAAGGGAACTCATAGTTGACCACTTACCTTGAGAGACTGTGAATTAAGCCAAGTAGTTTTCGTAAGCAAGAGAGCTAAGCCTATTTATATCCCTCAGTCATATGAATGAGTGATACTAAAGTATGGGATACTGATCTAGCAACAGTAAGACTGCTTTAAGTGTTAAGTGAAGAAGCCTGTTTGCCAACAAATCACTGAGAACCACAACCCCTGGAAATCTTATCTGGGTTCCACTCTCTTACATTCCTAGCAGAAATACTCATCATATTTTCAGCCTTTTCTCTGTAACCTCAAGTAGAAAAGCTTGAATTAAAAGAAAAACAAAGCAGCGGCATCTGGGATTTTCAAGATTTTGCAACAGCTTTTAGATTCAACATTGGATATTATTAAGAAGGACTGGGACTGGCGGGCGGGGGAGAGTGGGATGACAATGCCAATAAGGAGCATTCAGTATTCCAGCCATGCATGCCCTTTTTCAGGATCCTCCTTTACACTTTGTCTTTGCCCAGTGGCCTGTGCCCATTCTTGTCCAAATACAGCATTTTGTGGCTACTGAGCATATTCAGGCTTTGGGCTGTTTGGGAGATTGTGACCCTTTAAGGTTTTTCCCATCAATATTTTTCTACTTCTGAAAACTTTCTGGCTTTTCTAAATATGCTGATACTTCCTTCTTGTTTCTCAGTAGTAAAATAAATGCCTCTTATGCCCAAGTAAATGCTTGTTATACACCATACATTACCATAAAAAAGCCAAGTATAGTCTTTGTTCCAGCATTGTTTTTACTAATAGACAAATTATACAAATTTAAGCATGAATAACTGGGTGACACCCCCAACTTCAGCATACTGCAGAAGGCTTGTGTTTGAATCTTTGGCAAGGTGACAGGAGATCTTTGTACAAGAGTTGCAAAATTTAGTATAAATCATTCTCTTTTGGTCTGACAGCTGAACCAACATATGCCAAGCAAACAAATCACGTGAAATACCACCATGGATACCCTGCAGACTTTTTACTAGTGTAATTTCTAAAGTTCTTTCACATGTATTTCATTTTTTTCAGCAAGGTATCCGTTCCTTGGGGCACGGCTGGCTTGTAACCCACAGTGCCAGAAAAGAACAACAGGTCTCCCTGAAACTTTGACATTGCAAACAGCAGGACTGATATTTACGGACCCCTTCCAAATGGCTTTAATCTCAAGGAGAAAGGCTCCTTCCTAGTGCAGGGCTTTAAGGTTCCACTGTTATACAATCAATCAACTAGCAGCTCCGCTGAGATAAGATTAAACCCCCACTTCTTTCATCATTCTTCCATGCAAAAAGATAAAAAAGTTTACCCGTTCAACATATGCCCAGATAGATTCACAAAAGTCAGTTGTACTTTCACTAACTTCCCCAGAAAAAGAAAAGCTGACCTTTAAAAGTAAAAGGTGTATGCCACTTCTGAATGCTAATATTTTCAGAGGTGATACAGAAACACCATTCAACTGACAATACTAATGACAGGCATACAGGCACTTCAAATTGAAATAGTCTAAAGAAAACAGCTAGAAATAACCTAGCTTCTTTCTACCTCACCTGCCATTTAGCTCACTCTGACATTTTATGCCTACTTCCCCACAGTTGACCTCATATAGCCTCTACCTGACAAGGTGGGAGGCCAGATACCTATGGCCCTTTAATTTCATTGCAGACTGAACCCTGGCTAAACCTATCTCAATGATATTAGTAGCATTCTTGGGGGAAAGAGTTAACCGCTATGTACTGCTGTCTGTAACTGGTGACATATATTAAGGCCTAGGGCCATGTACTTTAAGTGTACAAGAAGTACCACAGATCATTAGGGCCTAAGGCATAAATTCTTGACTCTTTCTCCTTTAGCTTAAGGGGAAAGTTCTCACCTCCTCAGTTCTTATGGGAAAGCTGTTATCTCCGATCAGCTGCTGCCAGCAGAGTGGGTGGATCATGGGTAACAAGTTGGCAGGCTAGATGGGAAGGTTTTCCATCCTGCTGCAATGACTGTTCCAGACATAGCCATGGGAAGCTTTGGAATATATATATATTGGGGGGGGGGGGCGGCGGGAGAGAACACAACAAATGCTGCCTCCTTCCCACCCTCCCTTTAAAGCATGAAGAAGACCATTAGAGTTGCATGAAAGTACCTCTAAGTTGCTACTCCTCAGTTGTAGAACTTCTTCCTAGCAAAGGCTCACCAGGCTCTTAGCCTAAACAAATCTTACAAGCAGTGAAAGACCCCTCACACATGGACATGCATTTGAGAGCAAAGAATGGGTAGCTATGAATATTTACAAATTTATACAATTTTTCCTATTCTTAAATGTCATCCGTCCTGAATCATCCAAACAAACTTAGATATTAATATGTAAGAATTGATATTAATAAATTCTTGGACAAAGGATTTCAGCTGAGAGGTTTGATTAAACAGAAAAACAAATCATTAAATTGTTCCATCTTTTATTTTAGAAAAGGGAACTACAGCTAACCTTAGTCTCCAAGTTTTTGTTTGGAAGCTTGATAGTATACCCTATCTCAGTATCCAAACTAATGAAAAGACTGCTAACAAGTGTGAAAGAATAAGCTCTCACTGACTGAGCATCATGGGTTGAGGTGGCCTGATACAGACTCAATACCCACCACTGAAAACTAAACTAAATAGGAAGGTTTCTGCAAAAACTTAAGTCTGAAGCAAACTTCCAGGAGACCACAACTGACATTTACAAAGCAGCTACCAAGAATGGCTTTCTATAAGGACTTGTCATATGGGTAGAGTTCCTGGCTAATCATGAGATCACAGAGTAAAATCAGGAAGGTTATGGCTGCTGAAACATGTAAGGACTGAGTCTTTTCAAGCAGAAAGCTGTAACACAAGAGTTTCTCTTAACTCTGCCACCACACCTTTAAGGCAGGCATTAAGTAGCAAAAGACAAAACATCCATTTATTGTGATTACAGATTTTTTACCTGTCAATGCATAATCAGTACCATTCATGAGAAACAAAGCTCAGATAGACCTGGAATACAATAGCAGCTGTAGTGTTATGGTTTCACATGGTTGTTAGCAACAAAGTACTCCTTGGAGAACTGGTGTAGCATAGCAGCCTGAAGTCTGAGCTACAAATCAGATGTTCCTGGTTCAAATCTTCTCTCTACCATGAACTGTAGATTGCCTGAGGCAAGTCTCTCTCTCTCTGCCCTATGATCTGCAATATAATAAATAAATAAAGTCCTACCTTATAGTGTCGTTGTAAATAGAAAATAATAACTCAGAACACATTTGCACTCTCTCATTCTCTCTCTCTCTCTATGCTAGGCATCATCATCATCATTTCTGCCTATAGTTTCATGGCTCTAACTCTGAAAGTAAGCCTTGCTGAACAGAGTAGGATTTATTTCCAATTTAGACATGTATAAGATTAGGTTATTAGACCTGACAGAGGGAAGCCCAAGCAAGGTTATGAAAAAGCTGTGCTGTTTTTGTGCCAATAACTAGAACTGTCCTCATTTCACAATCAAAGAAAGTCAGTGAGATAAATTTACTCAATATACTCTGATATTTAAAAATATTGTTAAACACTAATATTTTGAAACTGGTGACAGCAATGCTGCTCTCATCAGACAAAGAAACTACTATGGGTTAGAAAGTAACAGGGCTTCTAATGCACAAATATTTGGCTATTCCTGCACTTTATGTTACTTGAATAAGGCTGCAGAGAAGTTCATCTTGAAACCTAACAACCAGTTTGGGGATAAAAAGCCTATCCACAAAGCCAGTGCCATCTCATGTGACTTAAATGCACCAAACTAAGAAACTTGAAACCTTCTGAAGATTCACTCACCTGATATATGTTTAGTGGCATTAAACATATGCGAGAGAATGAATGGCAGTCCTGCCTTTATCTGATGAGCCTCAACTGACTTGGAGAGAACATTTTATCACCATGAATGCTGCTTTTTGTAAGCAGATATTGTTGCATTCATGGCACAGAGAGTCAGCTTGGATCTAAGACTCCACTGAGTTACAATCCAATTGAACTTTCCAACCAATGGTGGTCACTTGCCACCCCATGACTCACAATCTAAAGCTAAGGGTGATCATTCCAATGCCTGCCAAGAAAATCATGGCAGCATTTCTCAAGCAAGACCACACAGAAATGCTGTCATAAACCCCTACACAATTATGGCATATGTAAGAATACTAGCACACAGGTCTAATGTTTTTCCATTGTTTCAAACCTTATACTGTTCTATTCATTAGAGATGCCACAGCAGCCAAACTTGGAAGCTAGGCAAATTGGAATTTAAGCCTGGATTTCAATTCAAATATCCAGTGTTCACCTCCAGAGCAAAATGCCCACTAAGCCTTATTTAAGCATGACACCTATATAGTTTGAATAAAGACCCCACCAACCAAAATGCAAATTATCATGCAAATAACTAAAAAGAAGCAAAATAGCAAGCATGAACTTTTCCTACTATAAAGTCATAACATTTCTCAGAACTAGGGTGCTGTTTAGCATTGCTTTCAGACTGCTTTTTTTTTTGGCGGGGGGGGAGGAATGCTGACACTTTTGGTGGCTTTCTCTCTCACGCAACTACCCAGGAAAAAACCATACTGTCTACCCTCATTGTGCAGATGAAATATTTTGTTTTCCAGCAGATAAATCAATGTAGAAAGTGCTAGAATCTTGGAAGCAGCTGAAACTGACCTGTCAGTAAAGTTTATTGCAGAGAGAAAGTTTCTCTCCTTTCAAAAGGAACCACAGATAATTCATTAGAATCCTTTAGTTCCATCTCTACAAGCTATGTGAGCTGCTGATGATGATCCTAACAAATTCCCAATCCTATCAGCCTTTCTTTCATTTTTGATTAGTGATGCATATAAGAGACACTCTGAAAAAGCAGAGAAGTACACTGAATACTATGCCATAAGAGATACCTTTCCCAAATTACTTCCCTGGAAAGAAAAATGTTCCTGAAGATAAAAGATGGTATCACAGCTCATGAATGCATAGTCAGACATGTATGAGGACAAAATGTGGTGTACTTCTGACCAATGGAACCAAATTGTCAAAACCTGAGTAGCATTCAGAGCCATGACACAAGGCATCATTTGATGTTCCTGCCACAATGTTCAAGCATTTGTTGTTTGAAACACATTCGAGAAAGTGTACACTGAAGTGACAGCTCCCTCCCTTCTAGTCTCCCAGCACTTCACCAATCCGCCTGGCTAACACCATCTCGCAGAAGCTGGGAAACTTCACCAGTCACCACCGCCCCTAAGCAAACAGTCCCTAAACATGCAGTCCCTCTGCTTCCCTGCCCAGTAGCCGACAACCCCACAAAAATCCTCATCAGCTTCCCCAAAACATAGGGTAAGTTTCCGCTGCACCTTTCCCACTGCACCCAGCGGTTCCTTAGTTACCACCTCTTACAATAAAACACCGCACTTCGCTTCTACCCACACCGTCTCCTCGACCCCACTGACAAGCCAACCGCTTCCCCCAAAGCCGCCCTGAACCCTACTGCCCTAAGCCCAACTATTGCACCCTCCGCTGCCTCGACCCCCACTCTCCGACTCCTCCTTTGCCCGTTGTCCCCTCCCGGCCCCCGTACACTCGCTCCTCTTCCTCCTCACCTGAGTTGGGGGGCGCCAGACCCAGCGGTCTCACTGTGGGGAGGGCCCCCCCGGCCCAGCCTCTGGGAGGGGGGTGGGGGGCGCTGGAGGGGGGCTCAATTGCTCCGCAACGGCGGCTCCATCAGCAGCGCCTTCACCTGAGGAGGGACCGAGCCCCCCTCCCCTCCCCGAGCCACTTCCGGTCCCTCTGCTAGGAGACAGGCACTGAGAGAAGAGCGTCGAGAAGTTCGAGTGGTCAAAGAAAGCGCCCAGGGCATCGTTCCGTCAGGAGAAGGCGCGGACGAGCACGGAGCGCATCGAACGCACTTGAGGAGGCTCGTTTCGCGGACAGGAGGGAAGCAGGGAGAAAGCCGAGCGAGTCGATAGAAAAGCGCGGAGGGAGAATCCGTAGCCGGGAGCGCGGGGGAGGAGCAGCCCGAGAACGGAGGGTCCTGAACGCTCCGAAGGCCAAGAGCATCGATGTTGCGAAGGAGCACCCGCGTCTTGAGTTAGGCGGAGAGGGAGCAGGCCGCACAGCCGAGCGCCGAGAGCATCGACACAGCCCACCAGAAGGGAGACGCGGACGGGGCGTGCCTGCGAGCCGAATAGTCGGCTGGTAGCCAGCCGGACGGCGGCAGTTATGGTGGTGGAGCTCCCAACTGCTCTCCACCCACTAATTCTTAATTAACTATATGGGTCTTATTTGCCCTACGTATATATTTAGTCTATGATTAGAGAACAGTAATGCACTATGGAATATGAATTACGGATGGCTGGCAACACCGCCCCTGTGAGCTACATTTTCTCTATTCCCAAATTCTAGTATTTTGCAAATCGATCAAGCGAAAAGTGTAATCTATGTAACGATTTTATAATCGAGTAGAACATCTACGTCTCATGTTGCATGCACACCAGCGCCACCAGCGGAACTGAAAGGATGCTAAATGTGAATCGGCTTTAATAGCAAATTGTTCTTCGATGCAAATTGATCTTCATGCCTATTCTGGATATGTTTGCAATCAAGCAGAGCGTCAGTGGTCTTGGAAAGGCGTTCTAGTAATTTTCTGTAATGCGTATATTATATTCACTGTTTGTATCCTTCCAGATTTATTCAGTCATAAATGACACTGGCTTCAGTGCGACTTCTGAGTAAAAGTAATGAATCATGCAGCATTGTAACAACTGTATAATGGAATACGCTTTTGTGGATTAGAGTCCACTTCTGATGTCCACTTGGAACTGACTCAGTGCAGCTGATGACACGTATTCTAGCCTATGAAAGCTTATAAATGTGTTATATTTTTAAAGGGAGGAAAGTAAAAGTTTTATCTATTAAATCGGAAAGTTTTTCTCATGATTTCATATAATTTGGTAAGGGGATACCCCACAACTACTATTTAATCACAAAGCACATGTGCATCTTTGGACTGAACCACTAAGAACACATCTAGTGTTTTTTGGTGCTGCTATGGAATAGTGACCTTGAGACAAACCTCAATCCAATTTTTCACATAGGATACAATTAAACCAAGTTCAAATAATAGAGCACATGCGTGGCTGTGGACAAAGCGATAAACAATATGGAGCCCCTAATTCAGAGTGCCACCACAAGAGCAAAGATCATTATGGATCCTTGAGGATACTCTACATGGAATACCACAAAACATCAGCTTCAGATCACAGATCTGTGATTTGTGGGGAAGTGTACCACAAAAACCATGATCTAATGATTCTTGTATTACCACAGAAGAGAATTTTGAATCTAAGACACGGATCCTTGTGATCTTTACAGAGAAAATTCCCCAAACCACATGGCACATCGTGCCTCTATGAACTCAACAATAACAGTCATAGATCTCATACTTTATATCATAGTGCAAAAATATGGCTCTTCATAGATTTTAGATGGGATCCAAATATAACCATAGTCAAATCATAGATCACAGGAATGTCCATGATGTGAGCCAAATCATAGAATTGTTGGGTTGGAAGGGACCAAGAAGGCCATCAGGTCCAACCAAGGATGGTGCAGGATGCCAGTTACTCCATCCCACTCAGATAACTCTCTAGCTTCTTCTTGATGGTCTTTATGCTTCACTGTTCCACCACAGTAGAATAACATGGATTGGAGGCACACATCCTCTGAATGAACCTTAAAAATCATGGATCTTGTAGTCCTGTTTTAAAACTATGAGCATGCTAGCACAGACTGCCTGAGCTCTACTGCTGTGAAAAAAATCAGCCAAACAACCCAGGAATGTTTCATCTTGGGATGGTTGTGACATTCAGACAAACTGGCTTGTCTCTTCTTACTAAGGAAGAACAAACCAAATAATACCTTATTTCTTTGGCTTGTTGGGGAAGAAACAATCCAGAATACCTGGTTTGCATCTCGTGACAAACTAGCAGGACAAAAAAAAAAATAAAATCCCTGAGTTGCTTAGGTGCTTCTGTTCATAGCAGCAGTAGCAATTGAGCAGTGTGTACCCACATGCTGCCACATTCACAAACTAGGGTTTAAAAATGAGTACCTGGTTTGTTTTGATATGTGAACCAGGCTGTTTCCCCTAAATCTGTCATCAGACTTCACCCTTCGCTGCTCATTGGCCTCTAAAAAGTACATTCTGATTGGAAAAATGTGTGCACATAGAACAATGACAGCTATATGAAAAATGGATCCTCATAAATCATGGGGTTTTTATACAGGGCTCTTAAAATCTAATGCTAACTTGCAGTTTACTTTCTTATCCCTGGGGTGCCCTCTTACAATCAGCATGGATCGAGCATGCTGTACCACCCTGTGGTGCAAATCCGGGATCAGAAGCAGGGTCCTAATTTTTATCCAAAAACTGCACCATGAGAATCCATGAGATCTTGTATATCAGTGGGCCACAAAGCATCACCAGATTCATTGGCTTTCTCTCACGCTCTACCAAATGTGAGGTAAGAACCAAGAGTATCTGTGTGGATCTATGACTCATATTTATATTTTGCATCATAGTGGCACCATGATGGTTTGGGATGGTGATTTCCCTGGTTAAGTCTAAGGAAATTCCAATTTGCTCTTGATTTGGAGAGATCCCATGTAAAAATCTAGAGGATAAATTAGGATCTATGACCCAGAGTCATGTTTTTACTCCATGCTGATATTAGAAATCATGGTATCCATTATTTTTACAGTCCAGCCTATGGGTGTCAATGTGATCCCTGATTTTGTGGTAGTTTCTGTTGGAAACTGCAAAAGTAAAGTGAATGAGAGGGATTTTTAACCTTGATTTTTGTATTTCAGTTGTGATGTATAATTGTTCAATGTTTCACAAATGTGATCTTGGACTGGCCCGTATTTCAGATGAATTGCATGTAAAATTCATGAATAACCATATTTTTACTTTAGTCTGTTGAAACAGATGAGATTCATGATACGACCATGTTTTATGGGTTTGCCCTGTGAAAATCATGAGAATTGTCAGCATCCACACCTTACATTCATGTTTTTGCTTGGTTTAAAGTGTGTGGTTTTAATACTATAGCCTCCTAGCTACAGATATGAATTATATTGTGATGGGGAGTTGAGTATTAACCATAAAAAATAATGAGATCCACATTTTTGCATCATGGCAGTGCCAACAATTGCCGAATCCATGATTTTCATGGCAGAATCCATAGAGACAGGTGTGCTGTGTGAGCAGAAGGTGGAGGGGGCGGGCAGTTCCCTGCAAAACTTATGAGGATCCTGCTGCCTCTGATCCATGATTTTATGCCATAGTAGTGCCACCGAGTGGTGGATCCATGATTTCATGGTTCTGGAGGCAGAAGTGCTTTGATGGTTATTTGAGGGGATGCCCCTTTAAAAAGTAGTATGAAACCAAGATAATTTTTTAAATTTCACAGATCCAACTTTTGTCCAGTTCCTTTTTTAAGGGTCACCAAAATCTTTGTTATTTTCTTCAAAAAGATACACAGCTCTGGAAATTCATCCTAACTAGTAAGCATGATTAAAGACTTTACTCTTGTTATATGCCTAGCTGAGACATATTTTCTACAAAATAAAACCCATGGGATTCAGTGGGGGCTTAATCCCAAATAGATGGGCACAGTAATATGAGCGCACTGCATAGAAACAGAAGCGAGGCACTCCTTGGTGCAGAGAGGCAGTCCTCAACTCTCAGAAGGAATGAAGGTACGAGATGACCCTGCTCTTTGCTCCCTTCTTGGTAGAGATGGCTTGGAAGAAGGGCTGCAGGCCAGGCATCACCTCTTATCCCCTTATTTCTGTCTGACGTGGTAATATAGTCAGTCAGTGCATTCTTGTCTCCCACCTCCCACACTGAAACCATGAAGATTTAAGCAAACAGCAAGTTACATCATCAGCATCATTATCATTTTTCAGTGTGGGGCAGCACAGTGTCTTGCTGGGCTGGGACCCAGGAGAAAGTGAGTTTTACTCTCTACTTGGCTATGAAACTCACTTTGAGCCAGCTGCAGGCACTCAGCCTAGCCTGCCTCACAGGGTTGTTGTGAGGACAAGAGAGGAGGACCACCATGTGAGCTGCCTTGAGTTCCCTGCAAGAGGGAAAAAAGGCAAGATATGAAATGTAAGGAATACATACAAATTTAAACATATTACCAGCTCAGCTGGCTACCAGTTGCAGAGTCTTTATGGAATACTCAAATCTCTCCCCAGTTCTACAGATGGTGGATCCCTCCTGCACACAGAATAAGTCATGACCTGATTCAGAGGGTGGATAAGAAGATGGGCATGGTAATAAGCACAAAGCACTTCATTAGAGAGAGCTATGATTAATAATACATTTAAATTTTCATTTCCTGTCCGGTTTATTTTGAGTTAAAATTCTCTTTGAAGCCAGTAGCATTGTCTGAGGAACACATTAAATGTGGCTGTTTTCACCCCGAGTGTGCTAGCGTGGCCCTCTTTGGAACTTGCAGTCGATGAATTAGCTCATTAAAGCCCTTTATCCCACATGTAAATAGGACAAAGAGTCAGTGCTGACATGATCCAAATTACCTTTGGCTCTGAGAATCTCTTTGATCTAGATGCAAAATGCACATCAAACACTATACTCCCATCTAATAATGAGTAGGGGAACAAAATCACTATTGTCCTCAAATTGTGCCGTTTTACCACCTCATTTACTTATACAATCCTTATTATTTTCTTTATGATTAATGCATCAGTGCTAACCTGCAACGTTTGTTCTTCCCCCAAAGATGTTAAGAGCAGAAACAATCCCACCACCAATAGCTCACTAGGAAACTTTACTTAGCTAATGGTAGGGTCAAGACAGAAGTCTGTGGGCCTAGCCAACACAGCCTGCTCTGGAGGATAAGGCTATCAGACGCTGTCGGCCCTGCCAGCAATATGCTGCTTTCAGGCTCAGAGGCAGTTGCTAGGGAGCATGGGCGGGAGGGTAGCGCTGCGCTCAGTCCTGCTTGGGGTTTTTCTATGGGCGGCCGCTTGGCTGCTGCACAAGCAGAATGCTGAGCGAGACGGCCCCTTGGTCTGATACAGCAGGCATCTTCTTTCCTGGCACAGCCTGGGTTGGCTGCACGTTCAGACATTGTACAGCTCCTAGTTCAGTGAGCTATTTAAAACAATCAATTCCCGTAACCTGCAGATTCTGCTACTAGCATTTCACTGAAGAGCAGTTGCTAGGAAGCAACGCTATGAAAGGGCTGTTGCCCTTCTGTTCTCCTTGGTAGAGACATCTGGTTGCCACTGTGGAAAACAAGTTGCTGGGATAGAGCATCGATCAGATCCTACAGGGCCCTTCTTATCTGTGTATGTTTTAGGATTCTTAATATGCCTAAACAGGAATGGGAGGTTTATGTTCTGGGGGTCACTGGAAAAGGGCCTCTACTCAGACAGACTGACTAGTTGTTAAGAGCAATGGTATATTCGATCATGCCTAAAAGCATTCTTTAGACTGACAAGTGGCACACTAACTTTAATTGTGCACTTGTGGTAGCCTGAAAGCACTGGGATGTGCCTCAGCTTAAAAGTATTCCAAATCATAGTGCAGGATGAAAAGAACACTTAATATGCTGCAGAAATTAACTTTATTTTCCAACACACGCACGGCTGCCATTGAATAAGAATGCTCTCGTGGGTCCCCACTGGGGAAAGACTACAGCTCAATGCCAGAACATGTGTTGTGTGTTCGGAAGATCCCATGTTCGATCCCTAGTATCTCTGGGCAGGGATGGAAAAGACCCTTCTCTGAAACCCTGGAGAGCCACTGCCAGTCACTATAGATTAGGGGTGGACAGAAAGTACATTGACAGATGTGTGGACTCCAACTCCCAGAAGCCCCTGCCAATATAGCCAGTGGTCAGGAATGCTGGGAGTTGGTCTACCATGTGTGGAGACCTACTTCCTTCCTACCCTTGCTGTAGGCCAGCCTTTCCCAACCTGCTGCCCCCCAGATGTTTTGGACTACAGATCCCACAAACCCTCATCGTCAGCCATGCTGGTCAGGTTGGATGCAGCAGTACTCCAAAACATGTGAACAGCACCAGGTTGGGGCAAACAGCTGTACACTATTCTGGCTGTTCTGTCTAAGTAAGAACTAGGAAAAGAGGTAGCGGGGAGAAGGAAGGAGAATAGAGGTGGGCCTGCACATACATTTACAGCAGGGAAAGGAACTAGACACTAGTAAAAATAAAAGAAGAGACATCAAATTTAGAGTTTTTATTTAAATCTACTAGGAAAAAATAGATCACCCCCTCTCTCCAAGATAACAGAACAATTGCATTTCTGCAACAATTTCTAGTGTCCCAGCTAAGAGTTTGGAAGAAAGTCAGACCAAAGATAGGATAAAATCAGTCAGCGCATACTGAAAGTATTAAAAACTTCCACCTGTGCAATATATTTTAAAGGTGCTTAATCTTAAGAATAACTAATTACTTTCCCATATTAGCATCAGATTGCTCAGAACACTCTTTCAAGAGGGAATTACCCATCCAGAAGTTGTTATCTGGAGAGATAACAGACTGATTCCAGGTTTGTTTACTTTTCTTCCAAGAGGCTGCAAGCAAGCAGGTTTGTTCAGTCTAGGCCACAAAGGTTGAGGCTCCTGGTGTAACAGGGAAAGTCTCTCCTGCCAGAGGTATGCATGGCCAGCTGCTGTTCAAGGCAGAAGGTCTGATGCTACAAACCAACTGCAGCAGCATGTACCCTTCAAGGTGGCTTGACAGAAAGAAGTGCACCTCTCAAGTGTTTTGCATCTGCTAGTAGGCCTTAAAGTTTGCTACCAGAAGCTGGTGACAATGAACAGCTTAAGAGAGACAGAGATTTATGCTTCCCCATGTTGAGAGGCTCTCCCAAAAACTGCCTGTTGTGGCATTTTTATTTTTTGATAGGTAGGAGGGATAAAACCCATAATAATCAGGAGCAGTGGGAGCCAGGACTGCAGCTAGGGTTTACAGGCCCAAATATGGGTAAGCAAATGTCCAGTTCCTTCTCTCTCTCCCTCCACCCCTCACATACTGCCATGGAAACCAGAAGCATAAGCAGCTTCAACTAAAGGAAGTGAGGGAGCAAATCCTAGACAGCGTCTGAGGGGCAGTGAATCCCAAATCTGAGATTCCCTCTAACCTGGAGGGGGGATCTACAATACAACCTTGGAGAGAGAGAGAGAAGGGGATGTTTTGCAAAGTGAGAAGAGAGGAGAGACGGGAGAGGCCAGGAACTATCCTGATGCCTCCCTCCCCTCCTGCTCTCCCCCTCCAAAATGCCACAGCTACTTGGGCAAAAAGGCTTGTTTAGCAAAACTGTGGAGGCGGGGGCGGGAGGAAGCTTTCCTCCACAGTCTCTTCCATCCTGCATGGAATAAAAGCCCCCAACATCTATAAATTATTTACTAGATTTATATTCTACCTTTTTCAAAGAACTCAGAGTAGCTTATATAATTCTCCTTCTGCTGCACACAGTCTTATCTCTGCAACAACAACCCAGTGAGGTAGGCTGAGCGTCTATGAGAGGCCGTCACCCAGTTGGTTCCATGGCTGAAACAGTGACTCCAACCCAACCTCCTGACTCCCAGACCCACGCCTTTAACCACCACACTATACTGGCTCTCTTTGGGGGCTTACATTTCCTGAGGGCCCAACACATAGGGCTGTGCCCAAAAAGAAAGGAAGTCACTCATGAATCCCCCAGTTTGTATAAATGTAAAAGGCCTTCCTGCAAAACTAGCGGGCAAGCCAGTGTCATCTCATTTCTCTCTCAAGGGATCAGGAGGCAGCAGTTCCCAGTACTGAACCCAATTCAGGCAATGCACTAAGTGGGGAAGTGTGAAACGTGCATAGCCCCATGTATGCAGGAAGAGGTCCATATGACATTTTGGTTCTGGGCTCAGAGCATCATAACCATAATGATTCCAAACCAATTTGAAAGTCAAACAGCCCCCAAAACACTGAAAGACCAATTTCCACTTATTACAGCAGTTAACAGGAGCTAGCTTTTTGTCACAGAAAAGAATGCTGGAGCCATGTCCTTCTAGCCACCTTTCAGGAGCTTAAGCAGTTTTCTGTGTAATGCTTTAGTACTGCCGTGAGGGGGGGAGTGAAGGAAGATCCCAGCTGGTGATAGCATTTCTCTGAAGGCCCTCCTACAGGCCACTGTGAAGCCTCAGAGAATGGGAACAAGAGGGAGATGAAAACATTTCCCACCGTGGCTACCAGAGAGAAACAACCTGCCCAGAGAACCATTTTGGCTAAAGGGGTAGGATATGACTCCAATCAAAGCAAAGCTGAAATACAGAAGACTTTTATAGTGCAATGACAGCTTCCCCTCAGCCTCTAAACTCTATTCTGAAAAGAAGCAAATAGAGTTGGTGGTTTGGATGATTCTTCTGACCAGATGTGGGGTGTTCAACCTATTCTAGACAGGGTTGCACTCCCCCTGAAGGAGCAGGCTCATAGTCTGGGAGTGCTCCTTGCTCCATCTTTGTCCCTTGAGGCTCAGATGGCATGAGTGGCTCAGAGTGCCTTCTACCAGCTTTGGCTCATGATCCAGCTGCACTCCTAGCTGGTCAGGGGTGCCCTGGCTTCAGTAATCTATGCTCTGATCATCCCTAAATTAGAATACTGTACTGCACTCTATGTGGGGATACCCTTGAAGATGGTTCAGAAGCTGCACCCAGTGCAGAATGCAGCAGCAAGATTAATAACCGGGACCCAGATGACTAAACATGTAAGACTGCTTCTGGCCCACCTACACTGGCTGCCTGCATGCTCCTGAGCCCAATTCAATGTGCCGGTTTTAACTTATAAAGCCTTACACAGCTTGGGACCACAATAGCTGTTGGAGTACATCTCCCTACCCTGATCTACCCAGACACTATGTCCAACCTCTGGGGCCTTCCTCCAAGTGCCAGCCCCTCAAGAGGATCAGAGGGCGGCAACTAGGGGGAGAGCCTCACCAAATCTTCCTTCCTTCCTTCCTTCCTTCCTTCCTTCCTTCCTTCCTTCCTTATTTGATTTCTAACCCGCACCATTAGCCAGACAGCTCCCACCTTTGCCGTCTTTTCCGCACCAGGTTTAGACAGTTCTCCATGCAGAGGCCTTTACAGATCTCCTTGGTCATCCTGGAGCCTGAGGGGATTACCAAAGTGCTTTTTCTCCTTGCCAGGTATTTTTACCGTATTTTATTTTTATGCTATTGATTTTATTCTTTTCACTTTTTTATGCATCGGCTTTCAGTGTTTTGTTTTAGGCCTTGCTATAAATGGCCTGGATAACTTCAGCTACAAGGCAGTATAGAAATGAAATAAAGAAGAAGACAGCATGCAGGCTAGTGGAGTCAAGTTTCTGATCTGGCATCCGATAATATCCCCAAGTGTGCTAAGTTTTTCCTCTGATGGTCATTCTAGATCATTTTAGAGCACCAAACCCATCCATAGCAGTGCTCCTCTTCCCACTGCCTTCCCTGTTCTCAAACCCCACTGCAAGGCTGTGCTGGAGTATCAGCACTGTGGTGTATTGCAAACAAGCTTCTAATCAGACCCAGAAAATTTATCTGAAGGGCACACCATATATTTATTAATCAAAACTGCCACATGCATACCAAAGCTGATGGTAGGAAAAGGATACTGAGGAGATAGCAAATACTCAAGGTAACACAAAGAACCCTAATCTTGAAGAAAGTGCTACACTTTTTTTTTTTCTAGCCACCTCCAAGCATGTCTTCTGAGAAAGGGTGGGGAGTGCGGAAAAGGTCACGTACCTGCAATAAGAAACTTAAGAAATTAGATCTGCACAGGCGTTGGCCCAAGAAACAGCAACAGATGTGGGAGATTGCAGCAGCAGCTTGTTCGGAGTTTGCCCGGTGCATCTCAAAACCAAAGGGAAGGCACTACAGATTCTAGGGGGCTTCCCAACATGATGGGAGCTAAGAGAAGAGGTAGACCTTTGTGCAACTAGAAGCAACCTGTCAGAATTAACATCTGGATTTAGGACGGCAAAGCTCTAGTGGGAGAAATACCCCCTCCCCAGGTTCTCCTTTAAAATCGTTTATAGACACAGCACCCTATGATTGAATTTAAAGTAGTTTAGCGTTGAAAAGCCCATTAGAAGAGTATGTGGGGCAATGAAAGTGACATGTCCCAGAGCAATGGGGGAAACTATAATTAAATGTTTGGATAACTCCTCTAAGTGCTCAATATGGACAAAGCCACATAACTTAAACAAACAAAAACACTCCCAACTTAAACAAACAAAAACACTCCCAACTTAAACAAACAAAAACAATCCCAATCCCAGGCGTATAGATATATTTGACTACTGGAAACTTTTTTGGAGCCCGTTCCAAGGTGCTGATCCCGACCTTCCACAGTAGGCAGATTTGTTTCTAGAGCATACCAAGGGAAAGGGAGATGCCTATCTGCCCTCTTCTTGGCAGAAAAGAACAGTGCAAGAATTGCTAAGATTAGGAGCCCAAGAGTGAGGAGGAACAGCCAGAAGTCATAAGATCTTGCTGAAAATCCCAACCCTTCTTCTTGGCCTCTTCAAGGCAACTCAGGCAAATGTACTGCAGAAGACACACAGCAGCCAGGATCCAGGACCCTCTGGTTCCATCAGGCAATGGGGCATAATGAAGACCTTTACTCCTCCCTCACGGGGACCCGCACCCGATGCCAAGCACTGTTGAGCACTCCCAAAAGGTTCCAGATGGGTTTCACTGTGTCTGGCTGCTGATTGTAACTGGTGTCCGTGGCCTTGCACACAATGTTCAGCTCTCTGGTGCCGGCGGGGACAGAAGCCTCTAGCTCCCACAGCGTCCAGGCCCATGCTCGGCCAGGCAACTGATCCTCCCCGGTTAGTCTGGCCACACCCCAGCTCTTTCCGCCATCCAGCGAAACATCCACACGGAGGACCCTTTGCCCACCCCCACTCCAGGCATAACCTTTCACTGTGAGCTCCCCGGGTGTGACAGGGGTACCAGGCCCTGGTTCAGTGATGGCCGACTGGACAGGCAGCTCTTGGATGGCAGGAGCCTTGGAGAAGTCCACCGTCTCCCAGGTGACCGAGGGAGAGAATCCCTTATAATCCTTCCGCTGCCAGTGACTTTTGCTTTCTTCAGGGCCCACTGTGATGGAGCTCACCCATTTGACATTCCGAGCTCCGACGATGCCTGGCACGATGACTCGAAGGGGGAACCCGTGATCCCTGGGCAGCTCCTCACCATTCATCTCATAGGCCAGGAGGACATCCCCGTCGGGACTCATGGCTTTCTTAAATGGGATGGAGGCCCCATACGCTGTGCCGCTCTGATCCTTATCTAGCCCCTCAAAGCAGACATGCCCCTCATCACCTGGCGTGTAGCCAGCATCCATCAGAACGTCCCGGAGCAGGGCGCCTCCCCAGCATGCATTGCTGATCGCCCCAATGCCCCAGCCAAGCCGGTTGGTGTTCTTGATGGCGTTCATCTCGGACCGGCGATTGCCGGCACACTGCAGGGTGGCTGTCACTTCATGCTTGGGGTATTTCTTCTTCAGGTCCTGCAGAGACAGAGACAAAACCTGGCCACAGGGACCGTGTATCTGCAGGCGGTAGGTCTTTGGATCCACCACTGGCACAGGAAGATGGTTGCGTTTGAAGAAGAGCGGGTTCGGAGTCAGGAAATGTTCCGCGAGCAGCTCCGGAGGGGGTTCTGCATTGAAGGGCTTTAGGGTGTTGACGCGAAGGGCAGGGTGCCGGGGAGGGTCATCTGCGTAAGGATCCCCAGGAGCTGGCTGGGGAGGCTCCTCGGGACTCAGCTCCCCCACTTTGTACTCTTGAAGGATCTCCTGCACATGCGCCTGGCTGTGCATGGCATAGAGGGCCCAAAAGGGCTCCAAGGCGCCCCCTGCTGCCAGAAGGATCTTGCTCTTGCCCCCAGGATGCAGCTCTAAGAAGTCCGTGACATCGAACACGTCACTGCCGTAGGTCACCCACACACGACTGGCCTCGCTGTTGTGGTGGGCCACCTCCTGCCGGGTAAACACAGGAAACGGTGGGCTGGGTGTGGGCGCTGGCGTGTCAGCCTTGGCTACCTGTGTGGAGAAAGAGAGGACTGCTGTCAGGAAAGCGGCCACAGCGGGGCTCTTCTGCCTGCATCGATTCCCCCCCCCCCCACTTCCTTACCTAGGCAGCCTCTAAAACAGAAACGAACTACTGAAAGAGAGTCCCAAGTGCTTCCTCCCTTGATGGCCCCACTTCCCCATGTCCAGCCCCACTTTTGGCCACATCCCACCCCATTCCTGCAGGCAGCCACCCACTCACCTGCCGAGTATGCGCCCCATAGGCCAAGATGGCGCCTATACCCAGGCCAGCCCCTGCCGTGACCATACGCCTGCGCCTTGGGCCTCCAGCGTTGCTCCAAATGCTGTGGGAGCGGAAGGGTGTCCAGGTGAAGTTGACCGGAGGGTAGATCCTCCAGGCCATGAAGTTCAACCTGCAGCAAAGGCAGCAAAATGCAGCACCATAAGCAGATGCCAGCATTAAGAGTGCTGTGGAAATATGTCAAACCATCACGATTCACAACAGAGAAACCCTGCTAAGCCCCAGAGCCCATCGTGGGATGTCCATCTTAGGTAGCTTAAAAAAAAAAAAGGTGGTACAAACCCATGGAGCAAAGCTCTGTGCGTCATAATTAGTTCCAACGGGAAAATGCAAGCTGTGTGCTCAGAGGCAATGCCTCTCTGAACATTTGGCACTGGGGACAAACAACAAGGACAGCTTGTTGCAAACAAGAGCGCAGCTTCTGGGTGGCCACCACTGGAAGCAGGAGGCTGAATCAGAAGGACCTCCAGTCGGGGCCAGCGGCGCTGCTTTAATCTTTGGAAGGCATCCTCCTGGGCATCTCACGGTGCTACCAGTCTCCACAGTCGTTCATGACAAGTGACGGTGGCTTAGCTGTTTTCAAGCTAGCTCAGTGGATCTGTGCCATGGAGTGCCTTGAACTGACCTGACAGGACATAAGTTCCATGGGGAAAGAGACGACAAACAGAGGACAAAGGTGCTCAGGAGGAACGGCTCACGAGAAGCCAGGAGCGAGGTGTTCTCGTGTCCTCTGAAATATGCTGCGTCATAACCTGGTGGCTTACAAAAGCTCTGTGATGCAACCCTGGAAAACGGGCTGAGTGAAATCCGGCTGTCATGCCACAGCAATCCTCAGGGGCAGGGGTCGAAGAGGGAAAGGGCCTTGGCAGCCACAGTGGCTCTGGCGGAGCTATTTTCTCTTAAAACGCTGTTGGAGAGATCCTCACCCTGCCTTCAGAATGAGGGAAAAGGTAATACCTCCCCCCACCCCCATTTGCACACACAGGAGAAGAACGTGAGCAAGCCACAGAGGTGGCTTTTGCCAAAGCAGGGAAATGAACATTGTGTGCTTTGCTCTTGGGCTGGCTTTCCAAATCCTGGGGACAGTCTGTTTTAAAGAGCTTGTGTGAACACAACACACAGCTCTTTCAGGAAGGGCAGCTGACATTGTAAATGTCGGCTTTCAAGCATTCCTAAAAACAGGTCATGACTCCTCCTAAACTACAGCTGGACGACAGTTCCAATGAGGCAGAACGTCAGTGCACCAAACTGCTACCTGTTCCTCTTCACTGTCTTCAGTGACTTCCTTTACCAGAACTGCAACATGTTTGTATTTCCTGCCATTATCTTCTTTCCACAACACCCACATCAACTCTAATTTCTGAATAAACATACTTTCTGTAATCAGAATGAATCATGCAAATAAGCAAGATTAAGAGATATCGGAATGCCAGCCTTCACATTTGGATCTCCTGCTTGTTGCTGGCACATGGCAGGACTGAGACCTCTAGCATGGGGGGGGGGGGGCGCACAAGCAGCAGATATTCTTGTCTTCTACTCAGCTCAGCTGGAAATTAATCATTAACTCCTACTGCTATTCAAGGTAGGGAGTTGATAAAAGGGATCTCCCTACCTAGACTACACCCTTAGCCTGGGAACCTGGAGGCAGTAGCTGCAATGAAAGGGAAAGGATACACTGGAGATAAGATTAGCATCCATAGATAACTAGGCAAAGTGCCAAGGCAAATACTCTGAAAATACTCTTTAGGAAAATCCAATGAAGGTATCTCTGGTTTGTTTGCCTGTTCCCTCTTTTTTGTTAGGCCATCAGAACAATACCATTGGAATTGAGGAGCCCTGGTAGGACAGCATGGGTGGGGATGAAATTATTTGGGTGGGGATTGTAAAATAGATCCAAAGAAGCAGGAATAGCAAGAAAGCTACGGTATGAGATAAACTCTTAGGAAAGTGTTATGTTCCTTAAAAATACTGGGTCACTGCTACTGTAAAAATTCTCTGTAACTCACATTCTTGATATCTTAATAATATCAACACAGCTGGCCCAGTGAAAAAGTCCTCTTTGAACCTGGGAGCCTTCTCTGGGACCAGGAAGGCAACAGCTACAGAGAAGCACATTCACTGCCTGCAATGCAAGTGAACTGGAGAAAGGCAGTCAGTGGTGGCCTCTTGCTTCCTGCATTCTCGAAAAGATCTTCCCATTTCTTGCAGGTGGTCTGCTGCCGCCTGCCCTAAACTGGCACCAGCTAGATCTGTTGGATACACTTCCCATCAGCCCCAGTCAGCAGAGCCAATAGTAACAGCTATGGGAGCTGTAGTCAAAAACATCCAGAGGATACCAGGCTGGGGAAGGCTAGCTAAAGACAATCCAAGAACTTGCCAACTGAATGTAACGGCACAGCAATTGTTCTGATATTACTGGGCAGCTGAATTGCAGGTCCCACTTGGCCACGATTTTGCGAGACCCTGGAATGTCCAGCTTGGGTGGCAGGTTGCACATCGAGAGTTCCTCTCATGGCAAACAACATGCTTGAAGCTGCGGGGTCGTATTTTACATACCAGCAGGCTCTTGGGAGGGTGCAGAGGCCGCTCCTGTGCAGTCGGGATGGCAGCATCTTCCCCAAACCTGTACACAACAGAGGGAGTCAACAAGGGACGGCAACAACGCTGGAGCGGCTCACCAGAGGCACAGCTGGCAAGGACTCGTATGATCCCTCTCTCAGACTGCCACACTCATGTCTGGAGGGCACACCTACTGCCAGGCAGATAAAATCAGCTAAGACAGAACTGTACATCCTCTTACTAAGTTCTTAAGCAATCATGTACAGAAGACTGTGGCCTTGAAAAGTATCTCAGTGAGGAACACAGTAATTGAGATACATTTGGAAAGGTAAGTACTTTCAAAAGACAATTTGCAAGACTACTGGTGCCCATTTTAATTCCCATCAGTGCTGCCAAGATGGTCTTGTATGGCCATTCATAAGAAGTGTTTGTCAAGCAAAGAATCAGCACCGGAAATTAAATGACATAATTAACTGAACTTCGGTGCCAGTTAAATTACAGTTATAATTAGAGGGTAGAAAAGGGAAACCACACTCCAAAAGTACCTGCTGTGGGACAAATGAGAGCAGATGGAACACTGGTAAATAACCACCTGAATACCCATCAACTTCAGCAGGTGTCCCAGAGACGGGCAGATCCCTAAGCCATGGTCTGGCAACTTCAGCTCAGCAACTTGGGTCGCTACCACTGTCATTTCAGAGGTGGAAAATATTTTAGATGCAGAAGGCAACTTATCCAAAGCAATCTATTACACTCCTGTTGAGCTTTTCAGCCCAGATACACACCTAACTTTCTAACCATTTGCAACCTGCCAAAGCCTGAGACTGGAGAAGCAGGGGCAGTCTACATGATCAGATAATCATATTCAGAAATCAGAGTCAGGGAAAATTTCCTACAGCAGTATGTATGTATCTATTTATTTATATCCCACCTTTTCTTACAGTGAACTCAGAGTAGCTCACATAATTCTCCTCCCACTGTTCTCAATCTTATCCACACAACAATCAGTGTGGATCAGTGTCTGGTGAGTGTGATGGTCTGGATGAAGGCCAATAAATTGAGACTTAATCCAGATAAGATGGAGGTTCTGTTGGTAGGTGGCTCAGCAATTCAGGTAAGTAATATTTGTCCTGTTCTGGACAGGGTCACACTCCCCATAAGGGATACACTGCATAGTTTAGAAGTTCTCCTCGGTCCAGGGTTATCTCTGCGGTTCCAAGTGACTGCTGTGGTAAGGAGCGCTTTCCACCTGCTTCAAGCTGGTCCATCGACTACATCCTTACCTGGATAAGCAGAGTCTAGCAAGAGTAATCCATGCTCTGGCAACCTCCTCGTTGGATTATTGTAATGTGCTCTACGTGGGGCTGCCCTTGAAGATGGTCCAGATACTTCAGTTGGTACGAAATAGTCAGGCTATTGACAGGGACCAGTAGGCGCAACCATATAACACTGGTCCTATACCATCTGCACTGGCTACCAGTTGAAGTTTGGGGCCAATTTAAGATGTCAACATTGACTTACAAGCCCTAAACAGTTTAGGGCCTGGATATCTGAAGGAGCATCTCCTTCTGTATATACCTGCCCAAGCCTTAAGATCTTTGTCTGAGGTTCTTGTTTAGGAGCCCTCTTTGAAGGAGGTTAGAAGAGTAGCTACCAGGGGAAGGGCCTTTTCTGTGGTAGTGACCCGGCTTTGGAACCTGCTCTCTAGAGGGGTGCACCTGGTGCCAACGCTTTATTCATTTTGGCACTAGGCCAAAACTTTTGTATTTATCCAGTATTTTAAAATAGAAATTTTACTGTTCTCATCTTCTATTTTAATGGTTCTGCGTTTGCTGTAAGCCATCTTAAGACCTGTTTGGTATAGATGGGATATAAGTGTTTTAAATAAATAAATACATACATACATAACTGAATAATAACCCCCTGAGGTAGGCTGGGCTGAGAGTCCTTCACGGGCCCAAAGTCACCCTGCTGGCTCCATGGCTGAGCGGGGACTAGAACCCAGGTTGCCTGAGCCCCAGTCCCACGCATTTATATACATTTGCATTTATATCCTGCCTTCTCTCCTCTGGCAAAAACCCCAAGGCAGCTTCCATACTTCCTCTCCATTACTTCTTGTCCTCACAGCAACAGCCCTGTCAGATAGGTTGGGCTGAGAGTGAGTGACTGACCCCAAGTCATCCAGTGAACTGCATGGCTGAGTGGAGAGCACCTGGATCTCCCAGGTCTCCAGTCCATCACTCCCACCACCACCCCCCCCCCCCCCCCCCCCCCCCCCAAGTCCCTTCCCCCCCCCCCCCCGAGTTCAAGGAACTTAACTCTCAATTCAATGTTCACAGCACTGCAGCATTAACAGGTGTGAGCAGTACACAAAAAAACCAGGAAGTATGAATCACAAGAACTGATTCTTTTGCTCACTGTGTGCTACAAAAGCCTGTCCTCACTTGAGAGTTCATTGCCAACGCTGGCTTCTTGCCTTCTGTGGTGCTTTTACTCCTCTTTCTAGCTGATATTAACAGGAATTTACACTCCCACCAAATTCAGTGAAATCTACTTCGTTGCATCATGCACATTTTTTCCCTTTTGACCTATCAGTTCTTGTTTTTCCTCAGCCAGTGTGGTGTAGTGGTTAAGAGCATGGGACTGGGACTCAGTGATCAGGGTTCTAGTCCCCGCTCAGCCATGGAGCCAACTGGGTGACTTTGGGCCAGTCACAGACTCTCAGCCCAACCTACCTCACAGGGTTGTTGTTGTGGGGAGAAGATTGAGAACAGGAGGAAGAGAATGATGTATGCTGCTCTGAGTTCTTGGAAAAACCAAAGGGTGGAATATAAATCTAATAAACAATTAATCACCAACAGGCTACCTGCTAGCAATTTGGAAAAAGCCATTTTGCGCCTTGTGGGTGTGCATGCAAAACATAATGCTATTTCATTCTCCCCACCCAAGGCAGGGAAGAAAACACCCTTAGTATAATTAGATGTTCCCTAGATTCCTGATTAAAAAGTTGACCTTTGTTTAAAGTTTTACTGGAGTTTCTGAGAACACAAAGTATCTGTGTGTACTGCGGGGGTTTTCACTTGCTTAGCTGCATTTTAAAATACCAGCAAATTAGCAGAGCAGGGAACAGTCCTGAGACTGGACTGTACCTGGAAGTCCTCCCAAAAGCTGCAGACCAGAATGTGGCTGGAGTCCAAAAGAACCCTTTCTCAGAGCCAGGCAGATAATAGCTCTTATCAGTTGCTGATCAGAGATCATGAGGTCAGGCGTTTCCCCATAGTTTTATTACTAGCCTAGAAAGTGCCATCTCCTGCATGTCAGACTGTTGTCAAAAAAGAGAGGAATGAGGCCAATAAAAGCAGGATTAGCAAGGTGTTGCCAGGAGGAGTATCTTTCCCTGACAAACTTCCTCAAGAGAAGAGAGATAAGCGGATGAGGGAAGTCAAAGCAGCCCTGCAGTTCTTTGATGGCTATTTTTTGTAGGTACACCATCCCCAAGGATCGTGAGACAAAAGTAAATAGAAGCAAAACACACACATATACACAACACATACGGGGAGTGTGGGGGCAGGAGGCGAGGGCGGAGAGAGGGAGAATATTCTCGATTTTTCCGTATACTCTTGAACGTATCCCTTCGGAAGTAAATCTCATTGACGGCAGCGGACTGGAACCCCATGTAAGCGGATATACTTGGATTGCCTTGAGAGCGGCAGTCTCCAGGATCCAGTGCCAGCCATAACAAGAGTGAGCCCACGGGAATGAACAGGACTTCAGGTATCAATAGCGCCTGTTAAGGAAGCGCCACGGTAGGCAGCCCAAGACGCCCCGAGAGCTCTTCGCTCCGATCGGGGAGAGCGCCGGGCGCCTGTGGATAAAAAACGGGGCCAAAGCCGCCTGGAACAGGGAGATCCGAGAGGCACGGAAGTGGGGCAACCTAAGACGGCTAAATCTGGGGAAAGATCAGGCCTTGCCAGCGGATCGAACTGCCCTGCGATTTGCCCGCCCCGCATTCAAGTTTGAACAACGCATCAGTCCTAAAGCCGCACTGCTGGCACTCGACCGCCCCAAGCGCGCCGGAAGGAGGCGGCGAGCCCCCTCCCCTCCCCTCCCGCAGCCCCGCAGCGCCAGCCCAGCACCCGCTTCGCGGCCCTCCCGCCGTTCCCACTGCCCCCTCCACCTTTCCGTCCAGCCAGCCAGTCCTCTCAAGGCACGGTCCAGTCTCCGTCACGCAGCAATGGCCGAGCCGTCGCCTTTAAGATAAGGGGACGGGGGAGCGACTCCAAGAGCGCCTCGCTCCGAAGGGGAGGAGGGACCTCGCCTGGCAGCGCCCGCTGCAGCGCTGGGAGATGCGGAGTGGGCGGTCGGCCAACAGCGCCCCGGCCCGGCGGCGGAAGAAATCGCAGGCGCAAACCCCCCGCTGGTCTGGATTAGGGAGCGTGGCTCTACCGCACCTGGCGCCTTTACGAAGCCGCTCCCGGGCGGCGCCGTTGGCGGTTCAGATGGCGTGCGTTAGGTCCCCTGACCTGCCATTGCTGGTGCTGGAGCAGAGGACTGTTCCCCGCTTTCAAAATAATAAAAGGTGGATGTGTTTAAAATTTATGGCAAGCCATTAGCCTTCTACGAACAGGATGGTGGTTTAAAATTATCCTTCCATGAATAGGAACAATCCAGTTTAAAACGCTTCTCTCCATGTGAATTCTCTTGAAGGTTGTCTGTAAAAGAATGCAACTTGTTCCTGGGACCTTGAACATGATCACCACTTATTGCACCATATAGAGGTGTGGTGATGGAAGATTCTCCAAAGCAGTAGCGCTTCTGACCTTGCATGTGCTTTTTTGATAAGAGAAGCAATGCAGACTAAGAGAGTCTGTATGCCAAGCGGAGAATGTAAATGCAAAGATTAGGACACCAGGTAGGCTGCACCCTTACTTAGGAGTAAAGCTCACTACATTCATTGGCTTCTCTTCTAAGCAAACATTCAAAGGATCAAGCTATCCCCTCACCAGTGTGATTTCCTCCAATGTTCAAGAGCCTGGAGGCACATGCCATGCCCTCTCTTCCTGGCAGCCAATTCGTCAAAGGGCCCAGATCAGGGAATATAGAGAACAGCTGGGCAACAGATAGAACACATTATCCCCAGCATGACTCCTTTTCAAAGGGGCAATATGCTTGGACATTAATAGTGGAAGAGACAAACATTATTAACAGCAATAATAATGGCCCATACATACAACAGGGGAAGCAACCTACACACGGTCAACCCACTACTCCATCTCAAGAGGGTCTGCTCTATACCAGGAATGGGCAAGGTAGCTGTGCAAATGTTTTGGCTTACAACTCCCATCAGCATTACACAGCATAACCAATGACAAAGGCTGATGGGAGCTGTGGCTCTCCAGAAGTTTTGGCCTACAAGTTGCCCACATCTGACCTGCATGGCCTGTCGGTAAATGTTCAGGGCATCAGAAGGGTTTTCCATACCTTCACAGAAGTTGGAACCTTTCACGTGCAAAGTACTTAGTCTGCCACTGAACTAGAACTCTTTGTTATATAGAAACCTTTTTGTGTGGCAGTTCTCCTCCATCTTACCCCACAGGGCCCATAGTAGTTCTAGTTCCTTGGTGCCTGGGCCATATTTAGCTGAGGAAAGAATGTATTGCTACCCAAAGGTAACATCCAACCTTGTCCATTGCCCTGAATTCCAGACTGGAATGTAAAGGAAGTTCAGTCTGCACAGGAATTCAACATCCTGACTCTCAACTTTGGAACAAGGCTAGGGAGTAGGACTACACGGCTAGGAAATAGTTGTGCAACTTTCTATGAATCAGAGGGATCTGCCCTCTCTCATTTGCAAAGCTGCTAGTAATAAACATGATGGCATAAAGATGCAAGGTATAGCACTAGGCTTTGTACAGAACAGGAAGAGAGATTTTTTTTTTTAAAAATTATATATATCCCCCTCTCTCTGCATTACTTCATGTACCCACCTCTAAGATTAAAAATTGCCCTGTTCCTCTCCAAATACACAAGACAGCAGTGATTATCAAAGGTGCTGCATGTGTATTACTTCCTGGCACAGGTATAAAGCTGACTAAACAGATGCTTATTAATAAACACATTTGATAGACGGGATTGTGCCAGACAAGGTAACAGATGTTCCTGTGGAGCAAGCAACCACCAGCATCTATTCAATGGTCTCTCTCTTGGGATACTGGCAGTAAACATCTTACTGTCACATCTGATACTGCATATATCTCAGCTGTGTGATATATTACTCTGACAGTTGATCTTCTTAGGCTAGTTACATAAAGGTCCACACTGAGGGACACCAGTGACTGTTGACAGTCATCAAATGCGGTAGTCAGCATTCACTAGGATACCACTGAGGGTCAGTATCATTTACCCATTCACAATATTAATCTGCAATTTCTAGCATTCACTTGTGATTACTTGTAAATACACGTTAGTTTTTAAGGTTACTATGACTGCTTTTGATTTATATTAGATTATGTTTATATTTGCTATAAGCCACCTCAAGCTCTGGAGGAGTTAAAGAGTTTTTCGATTCAAAGGAGAAATACCCTTTTGCTATATACATTTAGCTACATTTGTAAAGACTTTATTTTAAAACTAAAGCAAGCTGAAATACACTGGTCAGTCAGTGAAGATACTGGAGCTGCTGGCAGCCTTGGTCACCGGCAGATACAGAGTCTTAGTTCTGCAAGTCACCCCTGGTATACTGCATTGCCAGGACAGATTTTTAAATGACTGCTGTACATGCCTACGACCCATGATTTTACACAAGACCCAGCTGAAGAGATCATCATTTTACTGCACACCTCTACTTTCCTCAGGAAAATAACAAAATTAGGGAACTAAATTTTCAAAAGTAACACGGATAGAATTGGGGTTTTCATCTGCATTGCCTTCAGTGTGATGGCTCCCTTCATGTGGAACTCCCTGCCTCTCGACCAGCACTGGGGGTGCTTGCATGTCCTGATAATCCACTCTTGCAATGACCGGTGAGTTGGTTGTTGGGCAGAAAGTCCACAGTAAGCTCCAACGGCCCAGTGGGCTCACCAAGAGCTGTTGGTCCACTCACTCTTCCCACGGGTATCCCTTGGGGAGAATGAGGCTTTCCCCTCTCCATGAGCTATCTGGGGCTTTTCATTGCCTTTCCCATTTATTAGCTGTATCTCCTTTTTTCTTTTTTAAAGAAAGTGGCTTACACTATTTTCCTCCCCTACCCTCAAGCTTAACTCCACAACAACCCTGCCAGGTAGGTTGGGCTGAGCATCTGGCCCAAAGTTTCCCAGTTGGCTCTATGGCTGAGAGGGGAACCAGAACCCAGATCGTCTGAGCCCCAGTCCTGCACTCTTAACCACTACACCACACAGGGTTTCCCAGACTTGTAGACTATTTTGTGTGGGGAAAGCTACAAAGCAGCCTGTCAAGCTGCCCTCAGTGATCCCCCTTTCGACAGCTACAAGCAGTCCTTTCCAAATGCCATGCGATTTGTGGGAAGGGTGCTTATGGTCACCCAACTTTGTTTTAAAAAATTGTGCACGACCTTTGTACTTCTTAAAAATGTGCAAGCACAAGCATGCACTTTTTCTTAGTGTGTTAAGTAACTGTGAGGCACCTACAGGTATTTCAAGTCCTGGCTGAGAACAGGTGCCCAACATGGCCATTGCCCCAGCAGAGGGACCAAATCCAAAGGAGCAAGGGATCATTTGCTGGAAAGGGTTTAAGGGGTAGATTTATACCCCCTTTGCAGCAAAATTATCTGTGTTTCCCCTCATCAGGGTGCACATTTTGCATTTTGTTCCGAGCCTGTAGGAACCCTGCATTCCCCCTTTTCTTTTCAAATGAAAAAAATGTTTTGGATACCCTTGGCAACTTGCTGTCAAAACTCTAAGTCCCTTTAGTTTTGGACTGCAACATGTGCTTGTCAAGGCCCCCTTCCCTTGAAAAATGGTAAGGGTGCACTTTTGCACTTTCTTGCGTGCCTAGATGCTCACAGCAATGCACAAATGGTGCACCCGGATGGGAACTAAATGTTATGAAGATGATTGTGCTACAAAAGGGTGTACAGCCAAAAAACACCCTTCTTGGCAAATGATCCCTTACACCTCTGCTTTCCCTGCAAGCTGTCAAGAGAAACCAAACTGGGTAGGGAATGGCTGGAGCGATATCCAGGGTGGATATTAAGGCCTTTTGGCAGCAACCTCCCACCTTGCTCCACCACCAAAGGCTCTGACTCCTTGCAGGCACACTATTACAAAAGATTGTAATCATGCTACTCTACTTAAAAAATCCTTTTTGGTACACGGTTTGTACACAAAAAGTTTTTTTATGCCAACTTTCATTAGGAAGGAAAGGAAAAAACCCCAGACAAGTTACACATGAAACTGCTCACAGCAGTGAGGGGGAGAGGTGGGGATGTGCAGCTGGGGGATGCTGCAGCTGGCTCTCATCTAGGAACCCCATGGCAAATAGCAAGAGTATTTCATCACTCTTGCCCTGCGTCTTCCGAGCCAATTCCCCATTCTCACTATGGAGCTTGTCTTGCAGCTTCAGTATGACATGTCAACCTTATCATGGATCCAACAACTCTTAAGCCAAGCAATGGGTTGTTGGCATGACTAGTTGTCCATGCACACCACCATTCTGGGGAAATTGGTGTCAGTTTGCAGGACACAACTTATTATGGGTAGCAACCCATGATGGGTCATCATGTTGCACAAACCCAGTCATTATACTGTTTCTCATGGCAGCTGAAAACATCTTTAAGGCGGCTTCCTTGATTGGCTAGCCATACCTTTTATTGGTTATCTAGGTTTTTAAATTTTAATGTATTTTCTTTGTTTTACCTTTTAATATGGTACTTTCCTCCCTTATTACTCACACTCTGGAATTAGAAGTGAAGCAGTTAAATGCTGTAAACAAATAAATTGATCCCACCTGTAGAATCTTTAAGTTGAAGTATGTCTTCTCATATGATTTATATTTGTAAATTGCCAAAATAGCGGTCCAGAAATGTAACGCTACAATATCTTCATTCCAAGTAAGTTATTCTGGGTCAGGTTTTTCCCCAAACAAAGCCATCTACTCATCAATTTCCCCTTGAGTTTTGTGCTTCATAACCGGGGATGCACCATTTGCAGAGATATTTTTGCTTGGTCAGGTTTTATCCTATCGTTTTCTATGCATGCTATGGTTAAGGTTGCTACATCAGCTTAACGTAATACAAAAATATTAAAATTAGCATGTGAAAGAATGTAGTGGTACTATCCAAATCTAAAACTAAGCCAAAATAAAGAAGGGAAGTGAGAGAAACGGGATTTAGCTGAAGTAGCTCAGAGTTAAACGGAAAAAAAAAAATGAAAACTCCATCCCTACTTCAGATCCAGTTCTGCCAAACTTTGGACCCAACCATTCCAGTTTGAAAGGTTCTTCTGAAGGCACCTACGTTTAGCCTTCACCAACAGTGCTGTTGAGGGAATGATTATGTCTAAGATAATACAGACACAAGCTTCCATTGTAGAAAGGAAGATATAACATGGAGTTCTTCTACACATTTTGAAACAATGCAGTTAGTGAAAATTTTAGTTAAGGCCTTTGTTGTGTCTGACACGGTATTAAGCAAATACCTTACCAATCCCAATTAATATCTTTAATATATAGACTATCAACATGCTATCTATTTTTTCCACCCCTTTTGAAGCAGGGAGAGTGAAGAGAGAAAAAGATTCTCTTGTGAAGTTCCAAATTCCAATATCCAAAAAGGTCAGCTAATTCAGCAGTACCCTCTACTGGCCACTTTGTAGAAATGCAACCCACAAGACAAAGCAAGCAAACAAAGGATCAAAGATCTGCCCGTTACCTTCACATACTCCATCTTGCACCCTTTTAAAACAAGTGCTTGCTTTCAGTACTCTAAGCTTGTTTGCTAACCACGTATAAAAAGTATCCTCTAAGTGGGAAGAGGCTAAGAGCATGTGGTCTAGGTATGAGGGCCACCTAGACCATTAGTTATGTTCCAGCTGAGTATATGCAGAATCTAATTTGCAGTTAACTAGTGATCAAATATTTTGTGCATTAGATAATGAAGGTACTCAAGTCTCTCATGCTTTGACAAGGATGTCTACATATCCTACATACAAAAGGGTGAATCAAATATAGCAAAATACTGAGCAGGATTCCCTAGAGGTAGAAGGCTGCTACTGAGCCTAGCATAGTTAATACTACAGGGGAGGACAACCTAAGGCTCTCCAGTTATTGCTCAACTGCAGCTCCTCTCTGCCTCTGTTACCCAGCCAATGGTGAGTGATGATGGGACCCCGACACTTGGGAGGCCACATAATGTGCATCTGTTACAGGCTTAGGCGTGTGTTAATTGTCCATGAACTCTTTCTCCAATGACTTACGCTCCTTACTAGAAATAAGTGAGCAACTATCATCCAGTCTTAACATCACCCTTTGATTGCAAAAACACCTCTACAAATTTTTACAAATATCTGATTTACAAACTCACACAATCCACCTTTGGAGTGAGATTTTGATCACTGTGAAACAAATTCCATTAGCCTGCAAACTCAATCATGCCATGTTATTTCTTTCCAGGTGGGTGCACATTTCCATAGCGGTAGTGTGTAGAAATTGTCCATAACCATCCTGCAGTTACACTCCGGAAGGCAGCCACAGCTATCACAACTATGGCTGAAATCCTTGGAATACTTTTTTGGGAGTAAAAGCAGGACTGTCAAGTCCAGTAGTATATTAGACTATAAAGACTACACTGTCCTCCAATGCATTTTAAGAGAATTCAGTACCAAGCAGTTCTATGTCCTATCCAAGTCCACTCCCATCATTTGCTGAACTATTGGGTTTACAAAGAAGTCCTAAATTTAGCCCCTCAAGCTATACCATTCAGGGCCAGTTCTTTCTCTCCCTCTTACTATATGGGGCTCTTTGTACGGGATTGGCACAAGGTTTTAAAGTGCTGCTAAATGATCTACCATATGTAGCCTTAGCTACCTAATGGATCGGTGGTAGAATCCTGAGGCTGAAGCTTTGCAGACTAGGCAATTTTGTAGAGCACCTCTTGAATCGAAATAGCTGGGTGGCCACCTAATCTATGGGTTGGCTGGCCCTGCTTTCCCCTTGCAAAAGAACATTTACGCTTGTATAGTCACCTCTAGCTTCTATTCAAAACCATTCAGGTCATTTCTCAAATCACAATAAAGCAGCAGTTGATCTAATACACTGATTTTTTTGTTTACTTACATTAAATACATCGGTAAATCAGCAGTTGAATTCTGTTACCATGATTGTTATTGTAAATGCAATGTAAGAGCTTTCCCAAAAGAAAGAAAATGATCAGAAGAGTAATCAGAAAAAAGGAGTAGGGTTTTTTGCTGCTGTTTCTTCAAAAGCTGCAGTGTCCTCACTTGGTCCAGGAGCTAGCCAGGAAGCAGTAAAAAAAATAACTGAGAGCTGTAGGTTTTTTCTGGGCATTTAAATACAAAATTTGTTTTTGCTTTGCTATGAGCTGAGAGCAATGCAGCATCTTAGCCTTGTTGGAAGAGGCATGCTTATTCCCTGCTCCTAGGTCTTCCCAGATGGCCACAAACATCACATTATATGCACATAACAAAACAAAAAACTGTTAATGAAGGTTTTACAGTGAACATAACTGAAGGTTCAAGACTCCATTTCAGGATTCTTCCGCACATAGAGCTCTACCCTGACAAAAAATGGGCTCTTAGAGCTTGGAGTAAATGTGAGGAGAAAGATGGGACAATGTAATCTAGACTTCATCATCATAAGTTGCATGCACAATGATAGTGAGGAGTCTGATTACATCTCAATAGCCAACCTGCACTTTTGTCAACTGGATGAGACAAGATGCTATGGCATACAGCACTTCAGAGTCAATTCAGGTTTGCAGCATTCCTGCTAATGCCTTGAGAAGACAGGTTAGTTGGCGCCTTCCTTAATTGCTTCTAGTTTAATAGAGTTACCACAGGATAGTCATTTACCACATGCTGACAGTAGTGCAGGATTTAACAGTCTCAATGTATGGCCACAAGAACTAAGTTTATGTCCTAGATTCTCACATTGTTTGGGTAGACATTAGTATTTAAGTAGCACTAATGAATAGGATTAGGTAAGTAAATGCACATATGTGCCAATCAGAGTGCTTAAAACCATGCTTGGAGAAATAACCAGGAAAGGGCGTGTGCACATGTATTTAAGCACAACCTATTCCGAGCTCTGCCACAGCAGCAATCATATAAGAAATCTACATGAGAGATGAATCAAAATACACCCAAGAGATTGGTTGCCAGACGACTTGAAGCCAGATTAGCCAGCACAGGGGAATTGTTCCACTTTAGCTACTGCACTCATGTATGAGGCTTTAAGAGAGTAAGGGTGCTCAGAGGATGGAGGCTGGAAGAATGTGCTACTGATTCTGGGAAAGCTACTGTTGGGAAAGGAGTAATCCCTTACAAAGATGGTTGTTGCTAGCTGTTCAACAAGTCAGATGTGGGTGAGATGGCAGCATGCTTATTCTTACAGATCAGCACTGTATCTACAGCTAAATTTAAAAAGCTATTACATTCTTTAGCTAATAGCAGGGAAGTAAAAACCCCCCAATCACCCACTGCTTTATATTTTTTACACATATTTGTGCTGTGCTATTTACAGAGAAAACTTAACATAAAAGGGCTGAGAATGTTCAATTCAAACTTCTTAAGTTTAGACAGCCCTTGAGGATTGAGGGGCAGAGACAGATGGGACTGTTCCGCCACTTCTCCACAATGTCACATAGGGTAAGAACAAGATCAAGTTTGTATGCAAGGCAATTCACAAAGAAGTAGGACAAAGTCACAAGGCAAGCTGGGCATTCCCTGGTGAGGAATAAGGTATGGAAATACAGTACTGGTCCTCCTCCTGGCACCTCTCCTCCTATCTAGGATGCTGCTTTCTTTCTCATTCCAGCACTCCTAACTCCACAGCCCAAAAGCCTTTGCCTGTAGCAATAATTGGGAAGAAGCTTTTCCCAAGTTCTGCTAGGCACACAAGAACCCTTCTCTTTTTGGCAACTGAGAACAATATTTTACTGGACAGGCTATGTTGTACATTTTGTTGTCAACCTCAGGCTGAACAGATAAAACCTATCAAAAAGGAATGCACATAGGCTGCTCAACTGTAGGTGAGGGGTGCACAGAGCGCTTGGTCTCGCTTGCATGTTCTTGCTTCAGAAAGTCAGTCACACCTGTTCAGCAGAGAACAGAGCATCTCCATGGGACTGATAACTGAAGCGCAGCCTGCAGAGAAATCAACCGGATGCCAACATAACAGGAGGAGAGACACTACAGCCTTTTGCCTTGAAACGCTAGCCATCCCAGTTAGGATCAATACTCCTCCAACGACTCTCTTCCTTCTGCAACTGTCCTGGCCGACACAATGTCTAAGGCATTGATCGAGTACTATTCAAGGGTCTGGGAAAACTGTTTCGTATGCTCTATGTTCATAAACACATGATTCTTGTATTCATGCCACTGAGACCTAGGGTCACAATCCATGTCATAGCAAGCAAGCCACTAGCAAGACTTAAGATACAATTTCCCTCTCCAACCCAGCCAGAAAAGATTGCCCTGGAAAAAGATAACAAAGGACACTGCAGCTTTTCTGAACACTGAAAACAAAAAATGAATTTTTAAAAATGAACTCCAAAGGATTCCCTCCAAAAAAATTTCTGCATTTTCTGAAGAAATCCATTAATGTTGCTCTTAAAAATAAATCTACAAGAATCGGTTTCCCCTCACTTGTGCCCACCCCCCACAGCATTCAACAAAATAAAGGGAGTGGATGTGGAGAGAGTGGATGTTATGGGACCAAAAACACAGATTTTTATCAGAGCAAAGACAGTTGTGTACAGGAAAAGGAGGAGGGAAAGGAATATTATCTGGGAGAAAACAGAGCAGGGGAATCCGAGTAAGTAGGTAGCTATTTGCACCTATAATACAAAGTGAAGAAGAGTTTGTTTTTGGAAGTTAAGTCCCCAGTCGGTCTTTCTCCATTTTCTTGGGGTGGTGGTAACAGACGTCTGGTGGTGGTTTCTGAAGCATTAGAATTGCAGTTAAACGGAGCTCTCAGGAGAAGGAAGGGGGCGGCTTCCAAGTGTGCCGATGCTGTTATTGGAGGTGAGGTGTGATTGAGTGGGGTGGGAATGGAGGTTATATCTTATCTCTCGCTGGCTGCTTTAATGCCACTGTTTAGTTGCTACAACACTGGCTCTTGTTCTGCTGGGACTGCTCGTGAAGGTCCACAACTCGATTCCGACCCGCAGCACCGCCTGTGCTCTGGGGCTCACTCTTTGGCAGCTTCTTAGCTAAAGGGAGAAAGATACATGAATGAGGGAGGAGAATACTTATTTCCTCATTTAATTCCAACAGAGGTACAAGCAACATGAATAAAAAGTCAATATAATGAAGAAATAGAGTACTCAAAGATTTGGAACAGTGAAGTTTTGTGATACTCCCTTACTGCTAGCCTTCTGCTGGCAAGTTTTAAAAAATCGAGAGACATTTGGGTTTCTGTTAGTTCTCTGCTGTACCAGGATTGCTTTTCTGAAACTGACTTGTATTTATCTACGAGTATCATAGTGCCACTTTTATTTACAGTACTTAGTGTATACACATTTGCTATGTATGTTTTGTTGTTAACTGTATTTTATTAAACCTTGTATGTTTTACCTTGTGGCTCCCAAAAGGGTCCCTTAAGTGATCTACAACACAAAGCAATTAAAGCCAGACTATTAAAACAACTCAATAAATGCCTCTGAAGTATACTTGCAAAAATGGCAGATATCAATATTTTAATTAGAATACTTCAAGGCAGGGGTCTCAAACTCAACTTACCTGGGGGCCGCTGGAAGTAGAATCTGGGTGAGGCTGGGCCGCCTCAAGCGGTGGTGGTGGGCTGCTCATCCCGCGTCGCTCCCGGAGGCCGGCCCGGGCACCGCCGGCGCTTTGAAGCCCGCAGGGCCCCTCCCGGCACACAGCTTAGAGGGAACACTGCGCCCAGGGCAACGACTCACGCAGGTGCGTGTGAGAAAAATGCGCAGGCCGCACTATCACTAAACTTTGATATCAAGTGGGGGCCACAAAATATCGTCCCACGGGCCGCGAGTCTGAGACCCCTGCTTTAAGGTCATTCATTAAAGATCATATCCTATATAAACAATCATAACCACTCCTGAAAATGCATTCTTGTGGACAAATTTGTTTGCTAACTAGGCAGTGAAACAACTAAAAATCACAGAGCTACACTCATTCAAGGGAAAAGCATCAAAATGGTGGCCTTTATTAGAACCAACCAAAATGATGAATTGTAACTGCCCAATTACTGAAATACTGACAGCATTTGTTTGTTTATTTATTTATTTATTTTATGCCATCCAATTACCAGCATCTCTGGATGGTTAACAGCATAAATAAATTAACGACCCACTCTGGCTGCAAATACAATATTAAAATTCAATATTAAAACATATTAAAATATTGATTAAATAAAAAGATATTAACCTGGCGCTGAAAAACATATAATGATGGCACCAGGCAGACTGGGGAGCACATTCCATAGACACGGTGCCACTGCAGAGAAGGCCCTCCTCCGGGTGCTCTGTCTCCTAACGTCTTTCACAGAGGGTTCCCGGAGGAGGGCTTCTGTTGCCGATCCCAGGGGGCGGGAGAGCAAATAAGGAAAAAGGCGGTTCCTTAAGGTATCCTGGTTCCAAGCCATTTAGGGCTTTATAGGTAATAACCAGCACCTTGAATTGAGCCTGGACTTTGATGGGAAGCCAATGGAACTGATAGAGGACTGGGGTTATATGAGAATAATACCCAATCCCTGACAGCATCCTGGCAGCTCTATTTTGAACCATCTGAAGCATCCAGACTGTCTTCAAGGGCAGCCCCACATAAAGCACGTTACGGAAGTCCAACCGGGAAGTAACCAATGCATGTGTTGCTATTACTAGGTAATCCTCCTCCAGGTAGCGACGCAGCTGATAGATTAGCCAAAGCTGAAGGAAAGCGCTCCTCACTACCGCTGTCACTTGGGCTTCCAAGAACAGCTCCAGGTCGAGGAACACTCCCAAGCTGTGGAGCCTGTCCTTTAGAGGGAGTACAACCCCGTCCAGGGCAAGGCCCAAGTCACCTACCCAGGAGCTTGAATTACCAACCAACAGAACATCTGTCTTATCTGGATTGAGCTTCAGTTTATTGGCCCTCATCCAGCCCATTACCTTGGCCAGGCACCGATTCAGTACAGCCACTGCCTCACCTGGATTAGTTGAAAAAGAGAAGTAGAGCTGGGTGTCATCAGTGTACTGATGACTCCGCAGCCCAAACCTCCTTATGACCTCTCCCAGCAGTTTCATGTAGATATTAAATAGCAAGAGGAACAAGATGGAACCCTGAGGTACTCCATGGCATAACTGCCATGGCTCAGAGGTAAAGTCCCCCAGCACCACCTTCTGGAATCGGCCTTCAAGGTAGGAATGGAACCACTGCCAAGCAGTGTCTCCTACTCCCAACCCCGCCAGCCTATCCAGGAGGACACCATGGTCGATGGTATAGAAAGCCGCTGAGAGGTCCAGGAGAACCAACAGGGACGCACTCCCCATCTCTCTCCCTGCACAGGTCATCATACATGGCAACCAAGGCAGATTCAGTACCGTACCCGGGTCTGAAGCCAGACTGAAATGGGTCCAGACAATCAATTTCATCAAAGAGTACCTGGAGTTGTCCCACCGCCACCCATTCTAATACCTTGCCCAAAAAGGCAACACCAGCAATGCCTGTAAGGAGTGATGGTATCCACTGCTTTTATCAACAAAAATTACTCTCCTTTTCCTTCATGTACTGCATGGGTGCTGAGCTTCTTTCACCCTGGAGTGGAGTCCAATTTGAGAGCTTTTGGGAGCTGTATTCCAGTGTTGAACAGGACCAAAGGCAAAGTGGGACAATGTCAAAGGCAAAGGAGCTGGGACAAAATACCAGCATATATTATCATAAAGCCCATAGTACCAGTAACCGAGCCTTAGGAGTGGCATTTCAACCTCATGGAATGGGAAAAAGACTCAAAGTCATGAAAACATCAAAACACAACAGCTGCAGGAAAAAGCAATGGAGCCAAGAGAAGAGGTTGCGACTCTCTCGGGAACCCTACAGAGCCAGATGGAATTGCAAGCAGGCCAGATTTGGCCCATGGGCTTGAGGTTCTGCACCCATTTTAATGGTTTCAAGGTGCCAGGCATGAATCTACTTCTTCAAAATAAACTATTTTTAATACTTCAAAGAGGATTTTCAATTAGTGAGGTGCTTATATTACTCAATCTTTGTACAAATGATGTCACATTTCCACTATAGTAGCTGACTACCCATGCACTTGCCAAGACCAAGCACTGAGTGGTGGCACAGGTTTTCCATTTGCAGACATAGCAAAATTGCCCAAAGAAATATCAGCTTTAGCTGTTCTGTCACCATAGAAAAAAGTTAAGCTAGCTAAAAATAGGTACGAGTATATCACAGTATAGGCTGGAACACAGAAGAGAGAAAGACTGAGTTCACACAAAAGAACACTGTGGGTGACAAACCATTAGGGGCTGTTGTACCGCGTGCTCCAGGACTACTTCCTATAAGGTGGCTTGTATGGAGGTGACAAGCCACCCTCCCAATGCATGGCATGTTCTAGACATTACACGCATCATGGGTTGTCATGTAATCCAAAACCATGTGACTGACTCTATCATGGGTACTGAGAAATGGCTGGTGAGCCTAAGGGTGGCAAAAGCACTTTTTTGCTTGTGTCAAGTTCACCCAGGCCATCACTATTGACAGCTGTGCCTAAAGTTTTCAAATGGTACTTTGGGGCAGCAATCAGTGCCTTCCTCCTCAGTAATGAGCCCCTTTTTGCTCACTGTAGCTTTTTTCCCCTTTACATCCCCCACAAAGATGGTGCACACTCCTCTCTGAATTAACAGAGAGTGACAGCCCCTCCAAAATACCCAAGCAGCACATCCAACAGCCTCTCAGTGATTAGCTACACTTTTTTAAAAACTGCACCAGATGTGTGCTATTTATCATTATCATGGTAATAAATTCAGCTGGACTTCTACTGAAAATGGGAAGTCTTGACTGGCAATGTCTTGGGGGATACCTGCTGTCAAAGATTTAAGGTAAATGAAAAAGAGAGTACTGTATGGTAAGTCCCTTGCAGCTCATGCTGGGGAGCAACTAAAATATAAGGGGACAAAACCAACAGCTCTCAAAATAACTAAAAATAAACCAAAATAACTAAAAATAAACCAACACTGTCAAACAACTCTCTAATTTGCTTTCCCCTGGCAGCTATCAAAAGGCAAGCTGTCGAGGTAAAGCTGTGCCACAAGTGATATTTGCTGGGAAAGAGGGGTAGTCACCCTTTTTTGCTGGACTCAGTGTCCCATATCCCACACCGTGGAGCAGCACAGCTTCTGCTGCCTCCCCTACCTGTCACCATGGGCCTACTCTTGTTATTTTAATGTTGCTTTTATACTGCTGTACTATTTTTTATTTTAGTGTATTGTTTTTATTGTGTACTTTGTAACTGAATTTGTACACTGCCCTGAGAACCCAAAGAGCTTATAGGGTGGTGTATAAATGTAATATTATCACTACCACCACCCTTTTCACCCTTTCCCAAAATTCTAGGTGCTTGGGAGAGGGAAATGTACAAGCCACTTCCTTTTACATAACCACAGAGCTCTAACACCTGTTGCAGCTTAGGTTTCCCTTTAAAACTTTTTTTAAAAAAACAGGAATAATCAGGTTTTTTCACATATGCATATAGACAAATAGCAATAAATTATGAACCTAATCAGTCCACAGCTTTTTATACATTAAATTGATATTCAACTTTTTCAGTCCCGTCTGTCAGCAATTAGTAAAACAGGAAAAAAGCAGATAGGACTGCTGCTGATCATGATGAACACTTTTTAAGCCACTCCCCGTTAGACAGGGCAGCTGCAGAAACTTTATTTACAGATGTAAGCACAAGTACAGCCAGCTCAGGTCCTGCAAACACCCATTCTGAAGTAAATCAGGAATAGTGCCAGGTATCTGCTATACTTTCTCCCTCTGGCAGTCTACCCAATGACTGCAACTGCTAAGAATCTGATTGTAGGACATGGGGTTTGGTGAGACTGAAATGCATGTTCTATACTAGGAGTATAAAAACTCTGGTCCATGGCCTAATTTGGCTTACAGGGCTCCCAAATTCTGTCCGTGTGCCTCCTGGGATTCCATCATGGTCCACATGCTGGAAAAATCCCTTAAGAGGGCATTTCCACTGTTATCTTATAATCTGGCCCAGCAAGCACCCAAATTTGTCCCATATTGCCTCTTAGGGTTTTTCCAGGGGACCTCCAATCCAGTCCTCTGGAGAAATCCACCTTGAAGGGTATGCTGGCTGCCTGACTTGCCTATACCAGGGAGTATCTGCTCTTCCCCACATGGAGGACGGTCTCTGTTTCATCTCCACTTGGGGACAGTAGCACAGATGTGGGGCATCCTGGGCATTGGGATTGATCCAAGCAAGGAAGAATCAGTAGCTTTTCCACCTGTGTACAAGTCTCAATGCCCAGGTTGCCCCACACCCCAATGCTGTTTCCAGTCAGTTAGCAGCAAAGATAATAGCTAGTGCTTGTCCACATGGGAAGAACAGTTACTCTCCCCCACAAAGACAAGCCCAACACCCATCACTCTTCATTTCTGCTGCCATCTCCAATCTGTGATGAGGCAGCAGCTCTTGCCTATGTGAGAAAATAGGAAAAAATATGGGAGATAACCTTCCTTTGGATGTTAGCTGGCTTTCTACCACAAAACTGTTCTGCATCCATTCTAAATTGTAGAAAATGCCTCTAGACAATTGAGAAGCAGACCAAAGGAGCTCTCATTACTCAGTGCAATGTAGGGGACAACCACTCTCTTTGTCTCCAAGACTTCCCAGCATCTTTTGATACTATCAGTAATGGTACTCTTTTCATTTGTTTATCTGCATCGGGGGCAAGGTGTTATGGTGAGTTCTAGTCCTTCCTGGATCAATAGTTTCAGAAGGGGAAATGGGGGCCTTCTGCTCTCATAGGGGCCTGTAGGGTGCCACAAGGTTTCATCTTGCTCCCTGTGTTCTTCAACACCTACAAGAAATCGCTAGGGGAAATCACGCAGAGGTTGTGGCTGAACTTCCATGACACTTAGCTCAACCTTTCATTTCTGTCCAACAATCCTTAGGAGGCTGGAGAACTTTTCAGTGCCTGGAGGTAGTTTTGGAATGTGTGAAAGAAGAAATTTAGTCCAGAGAAGTTACAGATACTGCAGATGGGGAAATCACCAATCTGGACAGAGGGCCATGTCTGGTCTTAGTCTGCCTTGCATACTTCCTTGAAGGACCAAGTGCACAGTTCGGGTCAACTCTTTCAGTCAGCACTAATTGGGGAAGCTCATGAGACAATAGTGACCAGCACCGCTTTTCACCAGCATAGGCCAACAGACCAGTTGCAACTTGTATTTGGAGAAGGCTGATCTTGGTTCTTCATGTTCTACTAACATCCTGGTTGGACTACTATAAGGCACTCTATGTGAGGCAGTCTTCAGATACAGTTTAGACACTTCCGCTCATCCTAAATATACAGCTGCCAGGTAGTGCTGAAGGCTAGGTAGTTCACGCATATGACAATGAAAACAGTAAAAACTGCACTGGTTGCCAGTGTATTCCCCAAGCCCAATTTAAAGTGCTTTAAAGCCTGGAATGGTTTGGAACCAAGTTACACAAAGGACCACTTTAACCTGTACCAGCTTGTCCATGCTGTGAGGTTATCAGCAGAGGCCCTGCACACAAAGGCTGAGAACAAGGGAGGCAGCTTTTTTGCTCATGGCCTTACAACCTCTGAAATGAGATTCCATCAGGGGTTCACCAGGCCCCTTCTTTGCAGGTCTTCAGAAAAGGCCTTCACTCACTCGCTCTCAATTGGCCTTTTCTTCATAATACTTTTGGACTGCTGGTCTTATTTGCAATTACTGTGTTATGGATTTTTACAGTATTGATTATATTCACCAATTTGGGAGAATTCCACTCCTAAAGGTCACCTAAAATAATTGTAAGCAATAGAAAGATAGATAGAACAGAACATTTAAAACACTACAACTTTCGAGTAACAGCACTCCTAGCTTGTCTCCTAATTTAGTGCAACTAAGTTATTTATTACAGTATCTGCCTGACTTGGACCTATGGCAAATCATCCCCATTCTGGGAAACATTAACTTTAACTTAACAGCAAGCTTTCCAGGAAGGTGGGGGAGAGAAAGTAGCAGAACATTCTGGATATAACTAAGCCATGCTCCCTTACAGTGCTTTCAGCTGAGCCCTGAGCCCTACTTCATCTCCAAGAAATCTTTTTGAGAGTTTCCGTACTGTCAATATACCAGCACAGAATGCCTCGAGTTGATCTCAGTACCTAAGAGCCTGTCTTACATCTGAAAGCTGCACATAAAGGGCATGTCAAGAAAAGTTTGGAAGTCTCCAGATTCTGCAAAAGATGAGGCTTAATGAAATATTTGTAATTAGTTTCTCATTCTCTTCATCCAACATTTGCATGGACCAAAACATGCTAGAAGGAGAATCTACCCCATTATTAGGTCTAAATACTGGTTGCTTGGCAGAAATTCTACACAGCAGAGGCTGCAGAACTCAGTGTCCACCATGATGTGAAACCAAAGAACATGAGCTTTATATGGCCAGTGCTTTAATAATAAATACAGTGAAGTTACCTATCGCCAGGAAGAGATCATTGACATTCATTGCTGTCTTGGCAGATGTCTCCATAAACAATAGACTGTTGTCATCTGCATAAGCCTGGGCCTCCTAAAAGGGGATACCAGATGAAAATAGAGATCAGAAATTATTGTACATTCTGGGTTAGACAAAGTTAACTGGACAAAGAGGGTTGTTCACTTTTTGTGTTCAAAATGCAGTTAAATACTCTAAGATTGGAGTATCCTGGAAGTATAATAAAAAGTTGGGCTTAGCTAATTGCACTTGATAGCAGCAACTGGCCGGGGTTAAAACAAGCTACCTAGAAACAGTCTCTATATAGATCACAGTAACTCTATCTGTAAACTAGTACTGATGGATGCCATAAGAGAATCTGACTCTCCAAATTTCTTTTGTTCTAATTCTTTCTAATTCTCATTAATGACCTGGTTTGCACGGGGGGGGGGGGGTATCAGAGGCACCTTGCTTGCTCCTGCTTGTTCTTGGCAACTCAAGGGTAAATGAAATACAAGATTTAGCACTACATGCAAACCAAATCATTAACTCCACTAATGAAGATTACATGCCACCTCTATGTTATCACTGGGCAAAATAACACACATGCCTAAAGCAAGTTAGATTACATGCATTATGTCCATTTCCCAATGCTGTATATAATTAGTGTATTTCTAGTTTACTTCTATATCGTGGAATCTAGATGAATTAGCCTCTAATGAAGTGGCAAACATTTTTTGAAGCTATATTACTCATGAAATGGCATGAAGGCTGTAACCATTTTAAGAAAGCAATGTGATTGTGCCATGGGATAAGAGGGTCATCGCTACTGGAATCGATAAGCTAATTCAGAAATACAACCATGCAGAAAAGTTTTCATAGAGGAAAGAGCGCATGGTTTTGTACTTCCATATTTATTACTCCCACTTCCCAGTGACAATATACATAAGCACAGCAGCTGGAACACCATACCATCACACTCATGTGAACTGATGCTTGCAACTGCAGATACTGCCTATAACAGTGGTGGCAAACCTATGGCACGTGTGCCAGAGCGGGCATGCAGAGCCTTCTCTGTCGGCACGCGTGCCAAGTCACCCCAGCAGCCGAGTATCAGATAACAGTGTACATAGGGGCCATGTGCATGCTCAGAAAGGAGTAGCTGCTCCAGGTGATGACATCATGAGCCATGACTCATTAGCTGCGACTCGTCCGAGCTGCCGCATGCCCGGTCAGTGCACTGCCAAGTATATATATACAGTGGTACCTTGGCTCACAAACTTAATCTGTTCCAGGGCTCTGGTCATGACCCAAATTGGTTGTGAGCCAAGTTAAATTTCCCCATAAGGTTCAATGTAAATAAGGTTAATCCATTCTGTAACTGTTTTTTTAATGAGAAAAATGTGAAGCAAAGTGACATAGAACAACAAAGATCACAGCCATTTCCCCCCACCCCCCAGCACGACCGTGATCACACCCATCATCCCTGCATGTGCCCGTCATCGGTGTGCTGGGGGGGAGAGATGGGCTCGATCACGTGCACACAGGCGCGATTGCGGGCATGCTGGGGGGGGGGGGGGGGGGGGCAATCATGCTGGGGGGGGGGGGGGGGGAGATGGCCAAGCTCGCAGTTGCGCTCCTGAAGGAAAGCTGGGCGCAATCACACGCGCGCTCATGCAGGAAAGATGGGTGCGATCTCAGCCATCTTCCCCCACCTTCAGCACGATTGTGGCCATCTTCCCACTCGGGGCGGGGGGGGGGGGAGGAGATGCCTGCAATCATGGTCGCCACCCAAGGCAGAGTTCATGACCTGGGTCAAAATTTTTATGAAATTTTTGATCGTGACCCGATTTGGTCGTGAAGTGAGGTGTTCATTAGTCAAGGTACCACTGTATATATATTTGCTTGGACTGGCTGTGAGTTGTTTTTTCTAAGCTAAAACCTCAGTCTTCAGGTTTTATTGCAGTGCTGGCACTTTGCAATAAATAAGTGGGTTTTGGGTTGCAGTTTGGGTACTTGGTCTCTAAAAGGTTCACCATCACTGGGTTAGGGTTATAAAAATGAAGTGTTCTGGTATAATTCTGCTGGTTGGAGTGTGTTTAGAATGGGCCGAAATGATGAGCAGTGCAGAAAAAGCTACTCAAGGAAGGCTCTTTCAAAATCGCATTAGTTTCAATAGAACTTTCGCCCTCTATTAGGGTTAGAAGTGTGCACCAGGGTAGGGTTAGGATTAGAAAAACGAGGTGTCCTGGCATGATTTTGATGGTTGGAATGTGTTTAGAAGGGGCAGAAATGAAGAGCTGTGCAGAAAAAGCTACTCAAGGAAGGCTTTTTCAAAATCGCCTTAGTTTCAATGGAACTTTTGCCCTCTATTAAAGTTAGGTGTATACATCCAGGTAGGGTTAGGGCAGTGGCAGTGAACCTGTGGCATGTGTGCCGCAGCAGGCCCATAGAGTTCTCTGTGTCAGCACGCGAGCCACGTCACACCAGTATCGCCCCAGCAGCTGAGCATCGGGTAACAGCCCACATAGGGGCCATGCGCATGCTTGGAAAGGAGTAGCAAGACCAGGAGATGACGTCACGAGCCACAATTCATTATCTGCGACTTGCCCGAGCTTTCGCATAGCCAGTCAGTGCACTGCCAATTATTATATATATATTTGCTCGGACTGGCTGTGAATTGTTTTTTCTAAACTAATACCTCTCTTTTCACATTTTATTGTAGTGTTGGCACTTTGTGATAAATAAGTGGGTTTTGGTTTGCAGTTTGGGCACTCGATCTCTAAAAGGTTCACCATCACTGGCCTATAAGATGTTAACACTTCCACACGGCTGCATCCTCAAGATTGATCCTCATAAGAGTTACATGGTATAAGTACGAGTCCCAGGTCACCATCCAGAAGTTTTTTGTTTTTTTTTGAAAGTAGGAATTTTGTACTTTACATAGGTCCCGCACCTTTTCCCTATTGCTGACATGACACCTGAGTGATCACTTACTGGTCCTCATTCCCAAAGTGTTCCATACCTCATAGATTCCCAAACACTGCATTTACACGCAGTATTGAATGTTCTGAACAAAATATATAGCTTCTTCAGTGCAGACTATCATGTCCTGAGTGTAGTGATCTTCCTTCCACTCAGGAATTGCCTCTTACATTTAAGAGATGGCAATGAACACAAGTCATGCTACTAGTCTTACTGTTCTTGAAAGTGAGATAAAGGAGAGTCCTGCTATGCCACATTGACAACCTTTCCAATCTGTTTTAGTTTACACTTGGCAATGCTTCACAGGTTGCCTTCTAAAAAGGTCTGTAATATGTGAAATAGAACACAAAAGTCATAAGTGGTGTGGTGTAGTGGTTAAGAGCATGGGACTGGGACTCAGACGATGTGGGTTCTAGTCCCCGCTCAGCCATGGAGCCAAATGGGTGACTCTGGGCCAGTCACAGACTCTCAGCCCAGCCTACCTCACAGGGTTGTTGTGGGAATAAGATGGAGGAGGAGATGTAAGCTGCCTTGAGCCCTTTGTAGGAAAAAGGTAGGATATAAATCGAAAAATAAATAAAAATAAAATAAAAAATAAATAAAATAAGTGTGCCAGACACAGGCAGAGAAGTTCCTTAACTACAAGCTTCCAAACTTCGTAGGCTATCCAGCAGTGTTAGAGAACGCACTCTGTTATGCTGAAGGTCCCAGGGTCAGTCCCTGTCATCTTTAGTAAAAAGGATCTGGTGACAGGGATGAAAAAGACATCTGCATGAGGATTTGGAGATCTGGTACTTGCCTGAGTAGACAACATTGGGGTAGACCAATTAGTTGACTCAGGATTAGACTAGTAAAAACAGCCTATCCTACTACAGATGAATTGGCAAAGTTCATGCAGAAAGTTATTTAAGCTGAGAAGCTCTAGTTACCCAGACTAGGCAAGCGTTTGTGTATTTCTGTTTTTTCCTCACCTAATCAAAGAGGGGGGACAGCAGTGTAAGCATCCTACTATGTTTCCAGACAAGCCTTTTATTGTACAATTTTACTACCTCATTCATATAATTTTAGAGGGAATCATCATCTTTTATTTGCAGCCCTCCTCTGTTTTCCCACAGCTTCTTCCATCTTTTCTTACCAGAAAATGCTGTAAAGGAAGAAAAGATGGAAAAGCAGCACAGTGCCTTTTGATTGTTGGCATTAGTCGGTTTTGAAAGCTGTAGAAACTATCAAATTCCTTTTGTCCAGAAGTGAACAGGCTTAAGAAACTCAACTTACTTCATATTCTACCATGCGCTTGTTGGCAAGATCAGCCTTATTTCCTGCTAAGGCTATAACAATGTTTGGGCTAGCTTGCCGCTGGAGTTCTTTCACCCATGTTTTTGCTCGTGCAAACGTTTCCTAACAAAAGAGAAAATCCAAAATGTCAGGGTATGTGATCAAAAAATAAATATGCTTCCTATCAACCACTAATCTCTCAACCCCAACAGTACATAAGCAAGGTCTTTTCCAATAGCAAAAGCAATTACTCTCTGGGACTAACAAATTCTCAAAGACATGAGAGAAGCCCTGCTGGATCAGCCCAAGGGACTATCTAGCATTCAGTTTCCATAGTGGGAAGCACCACAAAGAGGACATCAAGGCAACTGCCTTCTACAATTTTTTTTTTTTTTTGCTCCTAGCAGTGGGCACCAAGAGGTATACAATCTCCTATGCTAGAGGTACTATATTGCTACCATAACTAGTATCAGTTGATAGCCTTATCCAGAAATTTGTCTAATCTCCTTTTTAGGCCCTCCAAGTTGGTGGCCATCACTACATCTTGTGGCAATATATTCCCATCCGTATTTTGGATAAGAGCAAAGGGGAAAAATAAATCAAATAATCTCAGCAGCTCCTTCTTATCAGTTCTAAAGGGTAATTTTGCAAATTAAAGAACTATATTTGTATGCTGTATGTACCTGTGGCTTTCCCCTTATTATTCAAATAGTAGACATCTGTTGCTCCCTCTCACAGAAAGAAGCCTGGTTCGCACACCATGAAAGCCCACTGAGAGTCATTTTACCTTCAAGGAGCTGTGGTGTGTGTTGGCCACCACCATGAATAAGAAATCTGACTGCAGGTTGTCGGGAGCTATTGTGTTGTGCAACCTAGTGAGTAGGGGGCATGATGTGTATATGAGAGTTAAACAACCTTTGAATAACCCCCAGATCACTGTATGGTTATTTGTACTGTATAAAAGGCCATCTAACCATCAACCCTGCTGGCTGAGTCCAAACAACAAAACAACCTCTGACTGGGTGTTAGGTTAAATATATTCATAATAGTGGCTGACAACACACCACAACTTCTTGAGGGTAAATAAACCCTTGATGGGTTGTTGTGCCATGCAATCTAGAGGTGGTTTTGCTTTTCTGCAGTGTGTATAAACCAAAAATGGCCACTGAGGAAAAAGACTTTGCTTCTTGCACATTTCAAGGAACAACATAAGTACATGTTTCATAGTTCTAATCTGAAACTGAATTAATAAATCAGAACATCTGATTATTTTCTGCTTACAGATGCAGCTTTATATAACTTCTATCACACAACAGAAGATACCCAATAACAAGAGTCTATATAGCAAGTATAATAGTAGGACAGTAATAACAGGCAATAATTATTCAGTGAAAGGGAAGCAATTTCAAAGGTTATTAGATGTATACTTTAAAAAGTGAATCCACCTCATAAGCGGCTGCCTTAAAGACCTGCTTAGTCCATAGCAGCTTTCCATAACCACAGCTTACCCTCCATATTTTTTGGATTTCAGCCCCAGCCAGCATGGCCAGTCATCAACAAGGCTGACAGCTGAAGCTTAAAACTTCTGAAGAGTACCAGGTTAGGAATGCTGGTCTGGGACAATATTCCTCTGTAATACTAAACAGTGTGATTTGGAAGTAAATCCCAGGCCTGTGCAGGATCAGAACAAGGTTCATCTAACTGAGCATTTTGTACATACCAACCAGCTACTCACAGGAAATGTGCAAGCAAGTTTTACAGCACCCTCCCATCCATGCTCCCCAGCAAATAGTCTAACATGGGTTTTAATCAAGTTTCTTCAGAACTAGAGTTGTAATTTAGATACCTGTCAAGTTATTTGCCTTCCAGAGTTTCAAAAATATATTTACACAATGAATTCCAAAGAACATGCATTACTTGTTCCAAATCAAAAGATGAGAATTTGTGTGTTCTTTTAATCAATTTCAGGCAAGAAAGTTGGTTTGCAGCAAGCGCTTCATGAGGACAACACAACTCTCTGCTCAGGAAGGAGCCTTACTTCTCAGTAGCCACCACTACATTGTTCAGAGTTCCTAAGCAACAACAACATGCTTAAAACTTTAGACTGCCTGCATTAACTATCTCCCTGTGAGATGGGAACCTTCAAAGAAATGGAGGATGTGCCAGTGGGTCAGCAAACAGTGCATGCTTACCTGGTTGGTTATGTCATACACCACAATGGCAGCTTGAGCCCCTCGATAATACATAGGAGCCAAACTGTGATATCTTTCCTGACCAGCTGTGTCCCAGATCTCAAACTTTACTGTTGTGTCATCTAGGCAGACAGACTGTGTGAGGAAAGCCGCTGTAAAATGAGAAAGTACAGAGTTGTTTTAGGAGCTCACCAAAAATGGATGTAATAGAAATCAAAGTGTATTACAGTCATTGAGAAGGTGCTATTGTGAACAAGTTATCTGACCACTGGGACAAGAAAACAAAAAGGGCTATTACGTCATTTGATTAAAAGCTTGTTAGAGGTCATACTACTAACACCAAAGAATCTAGGCATGTACGAAGTAACTGGTACAGAACTACACACAAACATGAAAGGTGTGTTAAGCTTTTGTCCTGCAAACAGTATGCGTCAAAGCCAGCCTGGACGTGAGAAAAATATGTAGCACATACTTTCTAGTCTATTCCTAGGACTGATCATTTCAGAATGCAGCTGGAAAAACCACATGCTGCTCCCCTATATGCAAAGCTGAGGTAGCATTTCCCCATAAATAGGTTCCATAGTCTACAAGAATAATAAAAACACTTCTGTGAAGCAAGCCTAACCCCAGAGTAATCACAGACAAGATAAAGAAAGCACACTATAAGCAGATGTGGATGATTGTGGTTTAATAGAGAGTATGGGTACAAATATATTTGGATCTAGGAATGTTCCCCTTAATTTAATGAATGTACCTCTCATGAAGAAGAGATAGTCAAAACTTACCACCGATGGTGCTCTCCTGGTATTCATGGAACTGTCCCTTGACAAAGCGCAGCACCAGGCTGGACTTGCCTACTGCCGATTCACCCAGTAGTACTAGCTTGAATTGACAGATCTTACTGGCTTGTGACTGACCATTTGGCCTCGCAGCTCCTCTGCTGGTCATGGCCTGGATTCCAAGAGCAGCCTGTGCTCCAGCCAATGAAAAACTTACCAGCCACTGACCAGAACTTGCAAGCACAGGGGGTAGGGGGATTGGCCTGGAAAAAGACAATTTTCTCCAGCTGTGGGTAGCTCCTTCTGGAACAGAGAGAGAGAGAGAGAGAGAGAGAGAGAGAGAGAAATTGGTCAATACACTGGAAGAATGAAAGACACTGTGGAGGCATGGATATAAACAATACAGAAAAGTTAGAGACTGAAGTGGATTGAACAGCTTCAGTAAAAACTGACTAATCAGGAGGGAACAAGATTCACTCCTGGCCTAGTTTCTTACATCTGTGAAATAGGAAACAGCAGCACTGCTGTAGACATACATGCACAATTTTGTAACAAACGCTAATGTGCATCCAAGCAAGGAAGAATAATGTTTAGTCCATAAGAAATGTAGGAACAAAATAACTAAAAGCCACATAATCCACAGTCATACTATATTCAACAAGATGACTATTAGATTACTAGTATTTCCTGCATTTTATCTAACCACCACACTTCATAACTGGAGTGTTAAAACCCCAAGAAACCCCCTCAGAAAAAGAAAGTTGTTCTTTAAATCAATCCCTAAGCAAGCCTACCCCCACAGAGTTAGCATTGGAAGAAAGCACTACCATGTGCAGTGAAGTTCTCTGACCAATGAGTCAGCAACTGCTGCACATGTCTTTCTTGTTCACATTCCTCAAGATGTAGCAAGCAGCTCCTGGACTAGAATACTCATCACATCATGTAGTACCAACAGCCAGGGCTAAAGGGGAAACACCTCTGACCTGGCCCAGAACAGTACATTATGACAGTGCTTAACTTCTCATGTTTACCATAAGCACTGGCCAGGCCATCACTGGTGCCTACATGCAGCTGTTTGTTCCAATTTCACAGTGCAAGTTGTCAGTCAAATGTGTTTCTTTTTCCTCAAGCAAGGTTCTTCCCCTCACCCCCACCACACCAAAAAAATAAAATCAGAGGCCTGTTTTACAGTTTAAGTTCTAAACTGGAAAAAACAATCTTCATACTATATGCATTGATATAGATCTCAAATTCGTGACCTGTTGATTAGGTACTTGTGAAATTTCTCAACCCAGAGTATAAATGGCATCAGTATCATTTGTCTCAAGTTATACTTGGAAAAGTTCTGTGTTGTTTCCTCAGTGCAGCACACTCCTGATAAAAGCAGTTATCACAAACATACATTATAGCCTTTTCTAAAACAGACTGGGCTCTATGGTAGAAGCAGTAATTTGTTATGCTACTCATATCGACATGTTTTGCTGGTTCCAACTTAGATTTCAGTAGTGTTCTGGGCGTACAAGTAAGATGGAGCAGGATCAGAGTGGTTCCTAAAATGTTGTTTCATAAAAGAGATGAACTTTAATAGTAAAGCCTAGGAAAAGGCTGTTGTTACTGAGTACTACCAATAAATGGACCAACATGTATCACCCAAACTAACAAAGGAGTTCCATACATACACATGAGGGAGGGATGGAGGGAGGTCAAAATGCTATTCCAAACCAAGACACACAGACCTGCTGCGCTGTGATGTAAGAATATGGGGTATATGGGATATAAAATCAGGGCAGTGTAGTGGTTAGAGTAAGTTGGACTGGAACTTGGGAGATCTGCCTTCTAGTTCCCATTCATGCACGAAGTTCATGAATGAGTGACTTTTGACCAGACTCTCAGCCTAACCTGTTGTTGTACGGACTAAAGAAAGAATAGGAGGATTACATAAACTACCTTGGTTCTTTTCAGGAAAAAAGGGATGATAAGAATGGCAGAAGGTAGTAGCTGAGTTTTCTAGATGAACTACGAACTGCAATCTTTAGTTGGAGAGAAGGCTGGAATATACTTTATTCCAGATCTGGATAGTTTTCTTAATTTTATTCATCCCTACCTATCCCAAGAATTTCTTCTAATATTTTGTAGGGAGTCACAGAACATTAAGCAGACAAAGTATTTACAAAGCACAGTGGTGCCTCAAACTTCAAACATTCCCTAAGTTTGAATGTTCCAGAGTTCAAACACTAAAATCCAAACGAGAGGACTCCAAAAGTTGAACAATGCTTTTAAGTTCGAACTTCAAGCACAGTGAAAAAATGCTTCAGTGCTTTTTTGATTCATTTTGAGTGCCTTTTCAGTGAGTCTCTTCAATCATTTTCAGTGCTTTTCCAATCCATTCTCAGTGCCTTTTCAATCATTCTTGGTGGTGAAATGAGTATTGTTTAGGGTCTGGCTACAGATTAATTCACTTTCCATTATCTCTAATGGGGAACATTACTTTGGACTTCGAATGATTCAGAGTTCAAACAGCCTTCTAAAATAAATTAAGTTTGAAGTAGGAGGCACCATTGGGCCAAAGTACCACCACCATCTGACAACTGGAAACATAACTCAAAACCTACATACATTTAAGTTTTTGGGACTGCCTTTTTCAAACAGGTACCCTCCAGATGTGTTTGACTGCAATCCGGTCTATGGACTGCAATGATTTGGACTGCAACTTCTATAATTTTCAGCCAGCAAACATGCTACATTAGTGTCCTTTCTATTTAAGAAATAGCACAGTTTTGGCTGTATGGATGGAAAGACCAGAAGCAAATTCTGTGTTAAGCATTCTTATAAAAGGTATAAAAAAATTAAGACAGCTAGACTCATAATGAACTTATTATACAAACTTATACTGTAGAACCTTGACTTTCATGAGTTTAACTTTCCAAATTTGATTATTTGCAAATTTGCCATCAATTTTTGGTGTTTTCTGGCCTACCAGAAAACATCATCATCACCATAGAAAAAAGTAAAAGGGGAAAGAGGGAGGGCCTCCAAAGCATGACTTCTTGTCCTGCCCATCTGGAGAGGCACTGGGAGTGAAAGGAAGTGTGGGGAATAAGAACATAAGAATGTAATAAAAGAAGCCCTACTGGATCAGACCAAGGTCTGAAAGAGAGAGCGAGAAGCAATCCAGTAGACACATAGTCAGCAGCATTTATTTTATTTATCTTAATATTTATATACTGCCCCATTCACATAATCTCCCATTCCCAAAAACAGTATTAAGAGTTAAGGGGAGGGGGTAGAGATATTCTTGGTTTTTCCACTTTTGTGAGGGAAGAAAACTAACCCCCACAAATGTGGAGGGCCACCCTTACTGTGCTTACACTTGAAATATTGTATACAGTTCTGGTCATCCCCACATAAAAAGACAACCAAAATGATTAGGAGACTGGAATACCAGGAGACTATAAGGGAAAAACTGTATTTCCTGAGGAGTTAAATTTTTTCTCAACTTTTTGTATAGAAAAAAGATGACTAAGAGCAGACATGATAAAGATTTGTAAAATTATGCTCTAGAGAAAACAAAAATTTTTGCCTTCTCAAACAGTAGCAGACTTCTGGGTTATCCAGAAATGTTTCAAAAACAGTTTAAAATGCTGAGATACACATGAACATGCACAGTCTTTACAGCAAGCTGAGACTGAAATGGGCTCTCTCTCATTAACCATAGTTTCCCATTTCATCTGAATCAGGAAACTATAATAACCAGCTCTGAACAAGCCAGGATACCAAATCACAGTTTGAACTTTAGCTTGTTCTAAAGATGAGAACCATCATTGTCCAGGTTGCACCAAATGGAAAACTAGGGTTAGAGACTGCCTAGTTTAATTACAGCTTACCATGAAAGGAAAAAAATGGGAATGTGTGCATGAGCAAAGATTCATTCATACACACACGTGTGCACCAAGCATGACAGTTCAAACTGGACCAAAAAAAAAAGCAGTTAGCAGATGATTCAGAACAAAGAAACCTACTTCATATGAAACAATAGTGCTTGGAATTCGATGCTGCTAAATAGTATGCTGGCCACTAGCTTAGATGGACTTAAAAGATTAGGCAGATTCATTGAGGACATGGCCATCAGTGGTATGATGGCTATGTAGACTCTTCAGATTCACAGTACTTTCCAGAGGCACCTGTTTGACCACTGTGGAAACAGATTACTATACTAAATCAAGAGTGCCTAACCCATGGTGTATATGGCTAGCAGAGACATGGTGACCCTACTTAGACTTTTTCGCTAGCACTAGGGAAGAAAAGTTTTGGATCTGCCTTGCCAGCAAGGGAAACTTTCCCCTTATTTTCTCAGAATAAATTTGAGATCAGGGAAAGCCCTGTCTTGTGGAGCAGCAGAAAGAGTGTCTCTGTGTATGCATGTGGAGGTGGCGGAAGTCTGAGAATGAGTGTGAAATGCCAGGGCTGCACATCTGTGTTCCCATATATACAGGTGTATAAATGTGTTTGAGTGTGTGAATACATGTGTGTGAAAATATACATGTGTAATACTGCTATCTCTACAGACAGTTGACTGCTCAGAGCTGAAAATGTGCATCCCTAGGTTATGTGGACTTTTGGACTGTTCTAGCAAGGGTCTTAAGACCTAGCTGCTTGTTTTGAAGCAATCACATGCCAAGTGTGCTATTAGTTTTCCAGCAGCAAATTAACTGCAGCTAAATACAAACTCAACATTAAGTGAACTAAGATCATGGCATCTGGTCCTCTCACTTCCTGGCAAATAGATGGGGAAAAAATGGAGGTAGTGACAGAATTTATTTTCCTGGGCTCCAAGATCACCGCAGATGGGGACTGCAGCCAAGAAATTAAAAGACGCTTGCTCCTGGGGAGGAAAGCTATGGCAAATCTAGACAGCATACTAAAAAGCAGAGACATCACCCTGCCAACAAAAGTGCATATAGTCAAGGCTATGGTTGCCCCAGTTGCAATGTATGGCTGTGAAAGCTGGACCATAAGGAAAGCTGAGCGCCAAAGCATTGAGGGCTTTGAATTGTGGTGCTGGAGGAGACTCCTGCGAGTCCCCTGTACTGCAAGGTGATCAAACCAGTCAGTCCTAGAGCAGATCAACCCTGACTGCTCTTTAGAAGGCCAGATACTGAAGATGAAACTCAAATACTTTGGCCACCTAATGAGAAGGAAAGACTCCCTGGAGAAGGGCCTAATGCTGGGAACAATAGATGGCAAAAGAAGAAGGGGATGGCAGAGAATGAGGTGGCTAGATAGAGTCACTGAAGCAGTTGGTG